AAGCTAATCTTATGCTGGTGCAAAAAAATCTGAAACCCTTGCACACTAGAGGTCTTCAAAGAGTTCATGAAAATGTGTATCACGGAGACTGCGTGTGGATTTAAAATTTTTGCACCAAATGTTATTTTAAATTATTTGTTTATTTATTTATTTGAAAGGCAGAATGAGAGTGAGAGAGAGAGAGAGAGAGCGCTTCCATCTGTTGGTTCACTCCCCAAATGCTGGCAACAGCCGGGGCTGGGTCAGGCTGAAGCTATAATCCTGGGACTCCATCCAGGTCTCCCATGGGGGTGGCAGAGACCCACGCACTCTGGCCATCCTCTACTGCCTCCCAGGTGCACTGGCAGGAAGCTGGAGCAGAAGTGGAGAAGGCAGGCCTTTAACTGGCACTCGAATTTCAGATGCAGGCATCCCTAACAGTGGCTTAACTCCCCAACCCCAACCATAATGCTCACCCCCAAACTTATCTTTTAACTCCATTCCCATGAACTTTTTGAGGTACCCGTGTGTGGGTTTATGCAATGTAATTTTATTCATCTTTTTTTAAAAGGCAATTCTCACCGGCACTGTGGTGCAGTGAGTTAAAGCCCCAGCCTGCAGTGCTGGCATCCCATATCAGTGCTAGTTTGAGTCCCGGCTGCTCCACTTCTGATCCAGCTCTCTGCTGTAGCCTGGGAAAGCAGTAGAAGATGGCCCAAGTCCTTGGGCCCCTGCACCCATGTGGGAGACCTGGAAGAAGCTCCTGGCTGCTGGCTTCGGATCAGCACAGCTCTGGCTGTTGTGACCAATTGGGGAGTGAAGCAGCAGATGGAAGACCTCTCTCTCTCTCTCTGCCTCTCCTCTCTCTGTGTAACTTTGACTTTCAAATAAATACATAAATCTTTAAAAAAAGAGAGAGAGAGAGAATGGAAGGATGTGACTACAGATGCTGTGGCCAATAAAAGCCTAAGAAAGGAATACTGTCGTCAGCCCTCCGTAGGACATCCAACAACCCCAGTGACATGGCTGTCAGCACTCTGCCCCGAACTTCACACCTGGCTGAGCCGCCTTCCACCGCGCAAACCTGAAACCACTGCAGCGGCTGAGAAGCATGGGGTATAAAACGCTCGCCACATCTAACCACTTAGTTCAGCACCAAAGCCTATTAAGGTCCCCTCTCTTGGCACAGCCGTTTCTCATGAAGCTTTAGGGGACAGAAAACCAGTTCTTTGGGTTTTGTTATTCATTCTGTTCCTGTCACGACAGACAGGAAAACCCGTGCCCTGCGTCACTGGCGGTACGAGTCTCACCCGGAGAGGTCAAAACGGCAGTGCACGACTGCTTGAATCAGAGACCAGGCGCCAACTGAAAAAAATCCTAAACTTTAGGTTTCACAATTTTATGTATTTTTATTAGCAATTTCCTTGAAGTCATTTTTAAGGCTTGTTACAGTAATCCTTCCCCTTGTAAAATTATCACTAATTGGGGCTGAGTTGACTAAAATTCTCAATTAGTCCTACTTCTAATAGAGATTCCCTCTTTATCAAATTAATTCCAGGAGAAACCACCATTTACCAGGCACTGGAACAAGGTCAGGGTCACACGGCCGTAAACAAACCCCCGCCTCCCCGGGGCTTACATTCCAGGGCACGTGAATTTTGTCCCTTTCCTCATTATACTCTTGCAAAAGTCCAGGACCTTGTGAGAGCTTTCCTTACGTATGCATTTGAAAGGCAGAGCGGCAGTGGGAGACTGATCCATCTTCCACCCTCTGGTCCACTCTGCCAATGGCTGCAACGGCCAGGACTGGGCCAGGCCAAAGCCAGGAGCTCCATCCTACTCTCCCATGTGGGTGCAGCCCTTGGCCATCCTCTGCTGGCTCCCCAGGCACGTTAGCAGGGAGCTGGATCAGAAGTGGAGCACCAGGACTGGAACCAGCGCTCTGATGTGGGCTGCTGGCACTGCAGGCGGCGGCTTAACTTGTACCAAATGCCAGCCCTACCCACACATTCCTAACACACAGCATTTCAGCATGTTTGCTCTGTAGCGTGTTTCAGAGGCAAATGAGAAGACCAGTTCCGGAAAACACCTCTGCGCACGGATCACAGGCACTGGTTTATCATCATTATGGACTCGCTTGTAAACCTGAAGATAAGGCCGGGCCGGTGCCGCGGCTCACTAGGCTAATCTTCCGCCTAGCGGCGCCAGCACACCGGGTTCTAGTCCCGGCCGGGGTGCCGGATTCTGTCCCGGTTGCCCCTCTTCCAGGCCAGCCCTCTGCTGTGGCCAGGGAGTGCAGTGGAGGATGGCCCAAGTGCTTGGGCCCTGCACCCCATGGGAGACCAGGAGAAGCACCTGGCTCCTGGCTCCTGCCATTGGATCAGCGCGGTGTGCCGGCCGCGGCGGCCATTGGAGGGTGAACCAACGGCAAAGGAAGACCTTTCTCTCTGTCTCTCTCACTGTCCACTCTGCCTGTTAAAAAAAAAAAAAAAAAAAAAAGATAAGGCCAAACGGGCGTCTGGTTTCTCTCCATCCGGAGGGCTGGTGGGCTTTCCATATGGGAGGTCTGGCTGGAGCGCTTATGACACACGCCACGTTTAGAGGGTCTCTGCGTGGCTGAGCAGGGAGATCCGGGTTCCACACGGAGCCCCTCCCACCCTCCTCACACCTGCAGTTTCTCTCAAGTGGGCTCTCCACCGGGCGCGGAGATCAGCCTTACCGAGATCCTTACCTTACCCCGTTCCCTATCACTGCCTGGCCTCCATGCAAACTCCATTACGGAACTCAGGATTCGGGTACAGACCCTGTCCCATGCCTCCCTTCGTGCCTGGTCCCTCGGGTGGGCTCCCTGCTGGGCGGCCCGTTGTGATGTCTCACTGCAACCTTGATGGCACACATCATCCGACTGTGGCCACACGGTGTCTCCTCTGGGTGACGGTGTCTCTGAAGCCCTCCACGCGACCTGCCCATGCGCACAGCCTGGCTCCCGAGGGAACCGCACACGCATGGGAAGAGCAGGTCTCCCCTGAGTCACCAAGCGCGCACAGGACACCCGCAGGGCTCTGAGCGACAGTGGACGGCGGCCCTTGCCTACCGGTTCTTCTTCTAAGCTTTTCTCTCCTGGTGCGTGGGAAGCGCTGAGCCAGGGCCCACGCCCTTGCCACACTCGGCTTACGCAGGGGGCCCCTTTACGTAAATGTGGTTGCTGACGGAGTTCAAGGCTAGCGCCAAGCCCCGAGACTGTCTCCACTCGCATCAGCTTCGCTCTGCCGAGTGTACCACACTACACCGCGAGTTCTTCATGACCCCTTTCCACGGTTACGTGGCTACAAGTGTCCTTTTTTTGTGCACAATGGCCACAGTTAAAGGGCGCAGTGTTTGCGTCAACGTATTCTGAAGATTCTCAGACTCTCGGACAGACTTCGCTTCCAAAATCCCAGCTGGTTCTAGACAGACTCTTGATTTTGGAGCTCACGGGAGCACTCCCCGTGAAGTTCTCGCCTTCAGGAACCTGGGGGTGGGGGGGACACCTTTTATCCGCAGCTTAGACCTCTCGCCTCCAGGATTTTATTATCAAGTCTTGCTGTCTGGTTGATTCACTGCAGACCATCAAAGAACTAAAGCAGCCTTAGAAAGAGCCAAATTAAGAACAGTGTCGGAAGACACACTATCCCATCTCAAGACTGAAAAGTGCTTTAGTTAGCACAGTGAGAGGATAACACTGAGAACAGTGAGACGTGATCAAGAGTGCAGGAATAGAAACACACACGCACACACGTGCACACACGCACACACGCACAGGCAGCTGGTTTTTGAGAAAAGAGCCAAGGCAACCCAGTAGGAACAGCCTTTCAACAAAATATGCAAGAATGATTTAACACCCACATGCAAAAGACCGACTCTCAGCCTGCACATGGTGCGGTATAAAATATTAAAATCGTTCTTGGACCAGAGTGTAAATCCAAAACAGTAACACTTCTAGAAGAGAAACAGTGTTCTTAGTCTCCCCAATGGAAAGAGACAAACTGGACTTGACCAGAATTAACACGGCTGCCCTTCCAAAGACAGAGCTGAGAAGGCAGGGGCGCTCCAGACGGGCGTCAACATCTGCAGTGAAGGACCTGTGTCCAGACCTGCAGACACGAGAAAGCCTGAGGACTCAAAAAAAAAGAACCCCATTTGAAAACGGTCTTGACAATTAACTTCAGGGCTCTTAGTCTGTCATTTTGGCCAAAATGTCCTCTAATGAAACGAAGCCATCATTATCCTGAGTTCTTAAGTGAAGGGGGTAATACCTGACTATCTGTTCATTGCTCTGGCAAAACTGGTAAGTGTTCATTATAAAATGTTAAATGAAGTACAAAAAAACCCAGCCGCAATTCTGCTCGCTAGAGAACACGGCTGCACAGAAAACGAGCAGGCTTTCCCCGTTCTCCACGATCCTGTATTTGACCGCGAGTACGGACTGATGAAGGAAATACTACGCAGACACAACCCTCATTCCCACTGCACAATGGCCCTGGTTCTGTCCTGTTATTTTCGACCTGTTTCACACTTCCTGTAGCTCCACAATACAGGAACAGAGAAACATCCAAACTCCTTTGGGTGGGCATTTATTCCAAGTTTTAAAAAGTGACCATAACTGCACAATCCTCTGAAACTGTTTAATCACAAAGTGCGCCGCGATGTCCAGGCGGCTACGCACAACCCACGCCCTGCTCCGCACGCGGAACCGCAGGGAGAGTTCGATGGCTATCAGACAGTAAGCCTGTAGTTTTCAGTCATCAGCAAAATGTATTGCCTTTAAGACAGAGACTGGCAAGTACACAGCAACCCTCTTCATACTCAAAATATCTCATAAAATGCTTAGAAAAATTCCAAATGGTTCCTCTTTTGGTGTGCGTGGGAGAAGCAAACAAAAGTAAAGTGCTTCAAACTTGTCACAGACCCTGCCGCGCGAGGTTTGCACTGAACAGACTACAATCCTTAGGCGTCAGTCAATCAAACGGAGACGAAAATGATCCAATATTATCACTTCAATGTTTATTTCGAAGTATTTGTTGTCATGAATCGTGTCCGACGCTTTCCAAACGTTACCGCAAAACTCTGCCTTAACACACAGAGCAGGAGCAAGACATTCAATGCTGCAAAGTGCAGTGCTCCATTTTTGCAAAGTTACCCAGAAACATGATCCGTTTCCACTGTCATTTCAAGTGCCCACACGTGTACGCACACATGTACACAAAGCTAAACTGAAACGGCTAGATGGTATACCGGACAGAAAGAGGCAGGTGGGGAGCGAGCCTGCACACCCCTACCCGAGGCCGGGAACCAACTCTGACCAGGCCGTAACCAAACCCCCGTGATTTCAGACGCGCTTATTTTTTATGTCTACCTTTCGAATGATGCTTATGTATCTGAAGTCACGTTAAGAACTTACAGCTCTCCTCCAAATTAAGTTTGAGTAAGTTTTAAGCGAGCTTCAGAAAACTTTCAAACATGTCACATGTATTTTATGCTTTTTTATTCATTTAGCAGATACTGGTCTGCACGGAGTTACGGAACGTCATGGTTTTGCAGCCCAGCGGGGACTGGAAGCCCTCCCCTCATCCGGCTCACGTTCTGTGGGCGTGGGCGTGGGCCCGTGGGCCGTCCTGCTGTCAAACCCCTGACCAGAGCTGCGATCTGTAGGCCCTGGCTCCCGCGCGGTGACTCGAGTTAGGGCGCCGGCAGGATTCCTCACGGCCCCGCCACAGGGCTCCGCGGCCGGTGGCCTGCCCCTCCTGAGTGCTGAAGCGGGAAAGAAAACATCACGTTTTCATTACCAAAAAAAAAAAAAAATCTTTCTCCTACAGGAGCCGCCGTCCCCCAGTCGAGGGCTGCAAGCGGACAGCGTTTTACAGCCCCGCGGCGGGAGGCAGGCCCCGGCCGCGCGCTTCGCCGACGTAGAGTTTCTCGCCACTGTGGACCCGCTGATGGATCAGAAGCCCCGAGCTCCAACGGAAGCCCCTGCCGCAGGCGTCGCACGTGTACGGCCTCTCCCCGGTGTGCACGCGCCGGTGCGCCTGCAGGTTGGACCTCTGGCTGAAGCCCTTGCCGCACGCCTCGCACGTGTAGGGCTTCTCCCCGGTGTGCACCCTGTGGTGGGCCTGCAGACTCGAGTAGCCGCTGAAGCCCTTGCCACACTGCTCGCACTTGTAGGGCCGCCCTTCCGCGTGCACCCTCTGGTGCGCCTGCAGGCGCGCGCTCTCGCTGAAGCCCTTGGTGCACACGGCACACCTGTAGGGCTTCCCCGTGGCGTGGCCCCTGCGGTGCGCCTCGAGCCGGGCGCTCTGACTGAAGCCCTTCCCACACAGCCCGCAGGTGTAGGGCTTCACCCGCGTGTGCACGCGCCGGTGCCCCTGCAGGTACGCTCGCTGGCTGAAGCCCTTCCCGCACACGTCGCAGACGTGGGGCCTCTCCCCGGAGTGCACGCTCTGGTGGCACTGCAGGTAGGACCTCTGGCTGAAGCGCTTGCCACACTCGGCACAGGGGAACGGCTTCTCCCCGGTGTGCACGCGCCGGTGGGCCAGCAGCGTGGCGGCCTTGCTGAAGGCCTTGCCGCACTCCCCGCACTTGTGGGGCCTCTCCCCCGTGTGCACGCGCTGGTGGATCTGCAGGTTGAAGCTCCAGCTGAAGCCCTTGCCGCACTGGGCGCACGTGAACGGCTTCTCCCCGGTGTGCACGCGCTGGTGGCCCTGCAGGTGCGAACTGCGGCTGAAGCGCTTGCCGCACTCGGCGCACGTGTACGGCTTCTCCCCGGTGTGCACGCGCCGGTGGCCCTGCAGGTAGGCGTTCCGGCTGAAGCCCTTCCCGCACTCCCCGCATTTGTAGGGCTTCTCCCCGGTGTGCACCCTCTGATGCGCCTGCAGGTACGAGCTCCGGCTGAACTCCTTCGCACACGCGGCACACTTGTACGGCTTCTCCCCGGTGTGCACTCTCTGATGGACGCTCAGCACAGACCGGTGGCTGAAGCCTTTGCCACACGCCGAGCAGCTGTAGGGCTTCTGGCCGGCGTGCACTCCCGGCCGATCTCCGGGCTCTGCACGCCAGCGGAAGCCATTGCCACACTCCTTGGAAGGCGTCACTCCAGTGGGACCTTTCTCACGGCCTTGTGAATAGGAATTCCAGCCGAGGCTGCAACTGCACACACAGTACGGGCACAGCGGGTCCCTAGGGCAGGCCACCTGAAGACCCTGCAAGGGCGAGGCCAGCCCCACGTCTGCGCCACGCTCCTCGGGGCGACAGGGATCCGCCCCCACGTGCCCGAGACGCTGCACACAAACGTCTGAGCCACGCGAGCAACCCCGTCCACACTCCACAGCTGGGGACGCCTTCGCTTCACTGTCAATTTGCTGATGGACGCGAGGATGTGACCTCTGACTAAACATGCTCCCGCTCTCCTCATGTTCGTGGGGTCCCTCTGCCGTGGGGACCCTAAAAACACTACTGCTGCAGAAGTCGTGGCCGCAGGCCTTCTCAGACACGCGGCACCTACAGGATGCGCCTCCCGCGTGGAGACATGGCCAAGCACTCCGAGAGGGGTCCTGACCGAGGCCGCCTCCACACTCAGCACGCCTGCAGGACTTGTCCTCGGGACACGTGCTCCGTGGAGGTGGCAGACAGGGACTCTCCCCACCCCCCTCGTCTCCCCTCTGAATGCGTGGGTGAGCGGGAACGGAGCGACACCTGCAGTCCTCCCCACACGACCTGCACGTGTGGGGCTGCGGCTGAGCTGCAGAGCCCCCGTTCTCACCGAGGCCTTGCGCACGCTCCGTGCACACGCAGGGCTTCTGTCCTGTGCGACCTGAGCCCCGGTCCAGTAGCGATGCCATCAGGATGTCTCCTCCACGGTCACGGCACCCGTGGCTTTCCCCATTTCTGCACGCGCCCAGACGATCACTGTGATGCGGCGTCCAAGGGGCGCTGGGACACTCGCCCAAATTCTTCTTCGTGGGAATCCGCTGACACTTACACCCGTGGTCGTGTGACCCTGCCAGACCTATTTCCCTCCACGGGTGCTGGGACTGTGAAGGTAAAAACCCTTGATTTTTGGTACCGCAGGAACCAGGCCCTGTGTGAGTCAATACGTAGCTCCCATCTTCAGAGATCTGGATCGGTGCTCCCGCCCAGGCCCGGCGGACGCAGTCACTTTGTTCCTGGGACTGGGAATTCTTCCCTTGAAAACTTTCCACGGACTCCAGGCACTTGGGTAAGTCGCCCGCAGCCGCTCGCCAGGTCTGGCGGGAGAGCCCCGTGGGAGGGAGAGAGCTAAGTCCCAGCTCTTGGGTCCGACCCAGCGTTCGCTGCTCCGCGCCTCCTGTAAGGATGAGAAGGATTCAGAAACGAGCCCCAGTGACTGCCCGACTCGGCCATTTCCGACTTTACACCTAGATCACGGCGCGCGCCGCGGGCCCACAGGGGAAGCATCGTGGCACTGGTTCTAAGGATCCCGACAGAATCCCTCGCTTCGGCCCCACCAGCTTTCGCAGGCGCCTCCTAAGGAAGGCCGCCCGTGCAAGTGCGCCTCACTCAGCCTGGACAAGGAAGGGGCCGTTCACACGGTTTCTCAGGGCTTTCTCACTGGGCCACTGCAGCCCCCCGGGGGAAAGGCAAATGGGAGCCCTCACTTCACAAAGATCACGGCTGCAGTGGGCACGGGCTTCTGTCCTAATGTTACACACACTCACACACGCACACTCACGCACACACACACATACACGGACATACACACACACACACACATGCACGCACACACACGGGCTTCTGTCCTAATGTTACACACGCGCACACACACACATACACACACTCACGCACATACACACACGCACACACACCCCTGCTCTCTAGCACCGGGCTCGGTCATGGCTGCATCGTAAGCCTGCGGGGTGAACGCTGCGCTGGGGTAAACGCAGACCTCTAACCTGCACGTGCGACACCTGCCGGCCGCTCTCAAGGGCGGCCTCTTTTCACGAGAACGGAAAGCACCCCTGTGTGCACGCGCTGCACGAGCCTTGACTCGTTTCTAAAGCTATTTCACGTCTCTGCGGGCCGCGGTGCACGTGGGAGACGCTTGGACAGATTTAACTCCAAGGATCTCAGCAATAGAGCCGAGGGGGTGACCACGTCAAGTCTCATGGCAGCTGCAGACGTGCGAAGCGGCTCATGGCCCACGAACAAAGCTCCCGGAACCCCGGCTCTGGCTTCCATCACTGCATGGGGACATTCCGGCCGCGTGCAGGGAACTGGGGCTGCCAGAAGACTTCAAGACGGGCAGATCTTCATAAACTGGCCTGTCTCCCAATTATTCTTTTTTTAAAAGATCTGTTTAAAAGGCAAAGTGAGCGAGTGAGAGAGAAGCCTTCCCTCTGCTAGTTCACTCCCCAGTGGCCACACCAGCCAGGGCTGGGTGGGCTGACGCAGGGAGCCAGGAGCTCCACCGGGGTCTCCCACGTGGGTGGTAGGGACCAAACACTGGGCCGTCATTTGCTGTTCTCCCGCGTGCAGCAGTGGGGAGCTGGGTCGGAAGCCGAGCAGGCCGGCACCCCCAGTGGTGGCTCAGACCTTGCTGCGCCACAACACTGGCCCCCTGTCGCCTGGGCATTAATGCCCAGCAGAGGCTGGAGGACAGCTACTCACGCGCTCCCTGGGGCGCCTGCTTCCACGGGGCTGAACGGGCAGCACGCAGCGGCTCCGCCCCTCAGAGAAGGCAGCCTAAAGGGGGCCACAGAAGCAGAACCACGGAGCTGGACGCTCGCCTGGACTGCCCCTCACTCTCGGAGGCCGAGAGGCGCCGTCTCTGGCCTCCTCCTTGGAGCAGTGTGTTCACTCCTGCTCTCCCGAGGGTGCCAGACCCGGCGCGACCCTCCATCTCCACCGAGATGGAGCCGAAAACTTACAAAAGTGAACGGATTTCTTTCAAAATTCTCTTTTTTTCTGCCCAGGGTCAGCCTTGGTTACCCACCTGAGCGCCCGTCGCGCTGGGCTCCTGTCGCCACCAGCAAGACCGTCTCCTCCCGCTCCAGCTGGGCTATCAGGTCGGGTTTGAAGGGCTGGCGCGCTGGGCAAAAGGTGAGGGCGAAGGGTTTGCAGTTTGGCGACATGCAAGCTTCGGAGCAATCCGTCGTAACCAGACACAGACACCCCCCTCCCAGCCCTCCCCTCCCCCGCCTTCACGATTTCTCCTCGCAGCACCAGCAGCTCTGCACACACACTCGGGCCTCTCCTCCCGCTCCCCCACGCGAGCAGGCCGCAGGGCACCGTCCACGCTCCTGCACACGGCTGCCTGTAGGGGGCAGGCTGGAGACGGACACGGCGGAGGAGTTCTCTGAGCCATGGTCAGACCCCGCCCCCGAGCGGTGCCGTCATTTCGCACTCTTAGCTGCGGCGACCGAGAGTGCGTTATTCCTCACGGCCTCGTCCAGGTTTTGAATTCTCTGCCAGTCTCGTGGGTGAGAAATGGAATTTCAGGACAGCTTTAATTAAGACTTCATTTTCCATGAAGCTGATCATTTCTTCAGGTGCACACACATTCATATGCATGCGCATTTGCATATGCACACACACGCACACCCCCACACGGCCAGCTCCACTCCCCGAGACCAACGAGCAAAGCCGCCACCCTGGCCACGCCCACGCCCAGCAGCCAGACTTCACCGTGAAGACACGACCCCCCAAGAAGACAAATGGCTGAGGCCAGGGCTGGGCGAAGGCGCAGCACACGGGCCGGGCCGCAAAGGAAGGGCGCGCTCAGAATGTTGGGGGCACACCACGAGGCACGAGGGCACAGGGGCCGGCTCGAAGGAGCCAAACTGGGACGACTTTAACACCGAAATAATTGCAGCAATAAATCCTACCCAGTTTATTTAAAAGAGAATCCACAAGTCCCTCTTACCACAAAATGCCAAACACTGACGGCTAAACAGGAAGGAGGCGCTAGCTCCAAAACCCATCATTTTGTAACTACCCGGAAGAGACCCCGGCAGCTGGGTCATCCTTGGATACTGGATCTACAGGGGGACACTTGGGATGCCCCGGCCGCTGCAGGAGGGAGACGCAGTAATGACACAGAAGAGAAACTGGGCCTCTTGACTGGGTGATCAAAATTCACGTGGCCTGGGAAGCAGCAACGGCCACCCCGTGCGTCCAGACACAGCACCCTCAAGGGACGCACTGCACCTCTGAAGCGCCCATCTGAATGGCTGCGCGGTTCTAATTACGGAGACACATTAGGAACCCAATTAAAATTGGGGGGGTGCATAAAAGTTAGGATGCAGCCTGAGACCCCTAAACCCCATTTCTGAGGGCCTGGGTTCAAGTCCTGGCTCCACTCCTGTCGCTCCCCCTCTTCGTGGAGGAGCAACACAGGACCCTGCGCTGTTCTTTCGTCTGCTCGGCCCTCCCCGGGTTTGCTGCTGGTTCTTCCCGGGTTGGCTACTATCCCTTCCACCTCCGTGGAAGGGCAGTTCCCCCTGGCCGCATTCCCCACTTCCGCAGGGGAGCGGCACTCCGCCGGCCGGCTTTCTCGGGGGCTGCACGGGTTCCCTTAGATGTTCCCCATAGATGTTCCTGGTGCATGCCGTCTCTCTCCTCCTTTATAGTCCTCCTCCGCCAATCCTAACTCGGCTGCCCACACGCCGAGTACGCTGCTCTCCAATCAGGAGCAAGTCCTACAATTTATTAGTTGAACTGGAGGCAGCTGTGCGGAAGCTGTTTACTTCTCTCCCAACGCCATGTTGTGGGAGAGCAGATGCATAGAATAAGTCTTAATTTCAGTAACTTAGTCCAGTCCGGATTGCTCCCCACAGATCCCCCTTTCTTTTTATTTTTTAGCGTTGATACGCGCCTGTCTTCGGTGTCCCGCGGCACACACTCTGCTCTACTTGCTAGAGTTGCCACAGGCTCTTACAAGTCCTATCAGGCAAACCGAATCCGGGTCCTCTCTTCGCCATGTTGTGAGGAGGTTTTTAGGCGCTGATGCGTGCCTGTGTTCGGTGCCCTGCAGCGCATGCTCTGCTCTGCCCGCAGGGGCTTACAAGCTCTATCAGGCAAACCGAATCCAAGCCTTCTCATTGCCTTATTGTGGGGGAGACTTATTAGTGTTGGTTCGTGCCTATCTTCGGTGACCTGCAGCTCATACTCTGGTCGAGCTTTGCTGGCGCTTACCGCCTTAAATCAGGCAGACCGAATCCAAGCCTCCTAATTGTTGCATTGTGGGGAAGCTTTACTGATGTTAATTCGTGCCTGTCTTCGGTGACCTGCGGCTAGCCGCCCAGGTGCTCATCGCCTCACTAATCGGGCAGACCGAATCCAAGCCTTCTAATTGGCATGTTGAGGGGAGGCCTTATTTTTCTCTATTTCTCTATCTCCGGGCATTCCTACCTCTCCCATTTCACTTCTATCTTCCAGCATTCCCATTTCTCTTTTACTTCACTTCCAAACTTCTGTTTCTCTTATCCCCGCAGCTTCCCGGCAGCTCTCCGCTTCAGCCCGCGCGCCTCTCTCATCTGCGCAGCTTCCCGGCTTTGCGCGGCTCGGCTTCGCGCGCTCCGCGGTCTCCACGCTTAACCCTTTCGCGTCTGAACCACGGCCTACGCCAGCCCCGTTCCCTATCTATTCACGCCCCGTGCTCTCTCTGCACGCGGCGGCTTCCGCGAGTAACACAGCGTAGCTTGCGTCTCCGCCATTAGCATTCAATCTAAGTTCCCCGGGCTAGCCTGGCGAATTCAACCCAGCGTACGTCTCCGCCCCACGGTTTGGCTTCCCGTCCTTTGCTCCCCGGGCTAATCAGACGGATCCCAACCTGGCTTGCGTCTCAGCTTCTGGTTTCAACTTTTCGCCCCCTATTCCCGGGCTAACTTGAGAACCCCAAAGTGGCTTCCGTTTCCGCCTCGGCCTGCCCCCCGCGGCTTCAATTTCCCTAACATTTTTCTCTACCCGGTATGTTTCCCCAAGCTTTCCTCCAACGATATTCCTCCCTCATTTCTCCTGGCCTCTCCCCACAGTCCGCGTCGGAGTCTGTTTGTTCTAGCTTTCACTTTCGCTTTCGACCTTAGAGATTTCTCCCAGCTTCCCCCCGTAGTCCGTATCCGAGTCTATGCCTAGGCTTTCAACAGCTTCCTCCGGCACCTCTTTCGTCCGGCTTTTCCCTAGGCCGTTTGCTAGTCTCTCCGGTATTTTTCCCAGTTCTTCCCGTTTCTTCCCTCCTAAGTTTGCTATCCGTTCTAGGTTTCCTATCCAAGCTAGGTTTCCTATCCGAGTCACGGCACCATTATGTCGCTCCCCCTCTTCGTGGAGGAACGACACAGGACCCTGCGCTGTTCTTTCGTCTGCTCGGCCCTCCCCGGGTTTGCTGCTGGTTCTTCCCGGGTTGGCTACTATCCCTTCCACCTCCGTGGAAGGGCAGTTCCCCCTGGCCACATTCCCCACTTCCGCAGGGGAGCGGCACACCGCCAGCCGGCTCTCTCGGGGGCTGCACAGGTGTTCCCTCAGCTAGATGTTCCCCATAGATGTTCCTGGTGCATGCCGTCTCTCTCCTCCTTTATAGTCCTCCTCCGCCAATCCCAACTCGGCTGCCCACACACCGAGTACGCTGCTCTCCAATCAGGAGCAAGTCCTACAGTTAATTGGTTGAACTGGAGGCAGCTGTGCGGAAGCTGTTTACTTCTCTCCCAGCGCCATATTGTGGGAGAGCAGATGCATAGAATAAGTCCTAATTCGAGTAACTTAGTCTAGTCCGGATTGCTCCCCACACACTCCCGATTCCAGCTTCCTGCTAACACGCACCCTGGGAGGCAGTGGGTGATGGCTCAAGTACTGGGGTCCTGGCTACCAACGGGAGAGACCCTCGGTTTCCAGCTCCTGGCTTTAGCCTGGCACTGTGGCTGCTGCAGACATTAGAGGAGTTAACCAGAAGAAGGAAGACCTCTCTCTCTGCATTTTTTTGTTTTAAGATTTTATTTATTTGAAAGGCAGAGTTAGACAGAGAGAAGGAGATACAAGGAGAGAAATCTTCCATCCACTGGCTCACCCCCCAGATGGCCGCAATAAGCCATGACTGGGCCAGGCTGAAGCCGGGAGCCAGGAGCTTCTTCAGGGTCTCCCACGTGAGTACAGGGGCCCAAGGAGTTGGACCATGTTCCACTGTTTTCCCAGGTGCATTAGCAGGGAGCTGGATCGGAAGTGGAGCAGCCAGGTCTCGATCCAGCACCCACATGGGATGCTGGCATCGCAGGCGGTGGCTTAACCACAATCCTGGCCCCTCTCTCTGCCTTTCAAATAAGGAAAATAAATTTAAAAATTTTTAAATAGAGGAAAGGGTACTAGTATTCAGAACACGTCACTGCTATAAAAGACAAATGCTATGGAAATGTTCCAGATTAAGGGAGGCTAAAGAGACAGGACAACTGGCCTAGACTCCAGGCTACAGGGTGTTCTCAAGTGAGAAAATGTGCTTTAAGGAACGTATAAACAGATTTCAAAAAGTTCATGGAAATGGAATTTAAAGATAACGCACACCTTCGCTGGACTTTCTGAGTGCCTCGCAATTGGCTTTATGGATAAAATTAGAGCGCAACTCATGGATCAGACAGAAGTATTGTTACCTGTACCAGGGGTATCTAAGAGAACATTCGCGGCCAGCGCCGCGGCTCACTAGGCTAATCCTCCGCCTTGCCGCGCCGGCACACCGGGTTCTAGTCCCGGTCGGGGCGCCGGATTCTGTCCCGGTTGCCCCTCTTCCTGTCCAGCTCTCTGCTGTGGCCAGGGAGTGCAGTGGAGGATGGCCCAAGTGCTTGGGCCCTGCACCCCATGGGAGACCAGGAGAAGCACCTGGCTCCTGCCATCGGATCAGCGCGGTGTGCCGGCCGCGGCGGCCATTGGAGGGTGAACCAACGGCAAAGGAAGACCTTTCTCTCTGTCTCTCTCTCTCACTGACCACACTGCCTGTCAAAAAAAAAAAAAAAAAAAAAGAGAGAGAGAGAGAGAACATTCGCGTTTCCACAAAACAGACTAACCACACGCAAAGGCAGCTCTGGCCTTCGCCTCGGCTCCTGAGAGGTGATCCTAAGCCCGGCTCGGACAGGAGGGCTCCTTGTTCCCCCCAAGGCCTCAGTCCAGGGCAGACACTGAACGACGGGATTTCCGGTGGGGGCCTGGGGCCTCGTGTTATCGCCTCCCCCTCTAGAGGGGCCGGCATGTCCGGTCAGCCACACAGGTGTCACCCACCCTGCACCGCTGAGTCTCAGTCAAAGCTCTGGACGCCAAGGCCCAGGTGAGCCCGCCTGGCTGGCAATGCCTCCGGAGACTGTCAGAAAGAAAGGGCCTGGCTTATGCAAATGACCCTGCAGTGGTTGGAAAAACATCTTCCTAAAGACACATCTTCATCCACATGGCCAAGTCTACAAGTTCTTTTACTTCTGCAGCTTTCTGTGAGTTTCACGTTACTTACAAAGACACTGTTAAAGCAACAAAACAAGGGGCCAGCGCTGTGGCTTAATGGGTAAAGCTGCCATCTGCAGCGCCAGCACTGGGCGTCGGTTCGAGTCTCAGCTGCTCCACTTCCAATCCAACTTCCTGTTGACGTGCCTGGGAAAGCAGTGGAGGATGGCCCAAGTGCTTGGGCCCCTGCACCCACGTGGGAGACCCAGAGGAAGCTCCTGGCTCCTGCCTGACCCTGCCCTGGCTATATGCAGCCATTTGGGGAGTTTATCAGCAGATGGAAGATCTCTCTCTCTCTCTCTCTCTCTACTTCTTCTAACTCTGCCTTTCAAATAAATAAAATAAATCTTTAAAAAAAATGCCTCCCAAAACTCAAGTTAATAACTATTAACGCTGTAAGGAAATGGCAGTGACTTTACTAAACCTGCTTCGAGACAAATCGCGAAGGGGGCGGGCCCCAATACGCCCACCTCCGCCCTGTGCCGCACACGATCACGAGGCTCTCAGGCCCCCACCCTCAGAGAGCGACCCCCAACAGCGAGCACACACACCCCGCCCCGGGGCTGCCGCGGAGACGCGAAGGGCGCCCGTCCTCACCCACGGACAGCAGGTTCCGGAAGTTCTCCAGCATCACAGCCCGGTACAGCGCCCTCTGCGCCGCGTCCAGCAGCCGCAGCTCCTCCTCGCTGAAGACCACGGCCACGTCCTGGAAGGTCACCATCGCCTAGGACAGCAAGCACGAGACGCAGGGCGGGAAGCCGGCTGCCGCCGCCGCCAGCTCACTCCCGGGACGCTAATTCCACCCCCACCCCAGGGCCGCTCTTCCAGTGGCCACCTGCTGCCCGCACTCCACACCCTGCAGCGAGTCCTGCCTCCTGGACTACCACGTCGGCCCTGTTACTCACGATGCCCTGGCCCCAGGAGGGCTCACACACGCACACACACACACACACTCACAGGCACACTCACACACACTCACGCACACTCACAGGCACAGCTCTGGGCAGCGGCGCGGCCGGGGCCCACTGGGGAACCCCGGACAAGGCTCTGCTCTCCTCCCCGTGGGGCCGCGGCCCGCCGGGATCTCCCTGGTGATGGACGCCTGCCTGGCAGGGCTCCGGCGGGGCTGAATGCGCCCCCACCGCCTGGGGAGACTCGGAAACCTGCAGTTTCTCTTTGAGGGCTCATCCTCCAGGCTGGGTCCCTTATCCACTGCTCCTGGGAAACCCCCAGGCCAGCTGTGGAAGGGAAGGGACTGGGAAGGGAGAGAGGGAAAAGCTCAGCGGGAACTGTGGGTGAGGCAGGGCCTGCGGCGCCGGCATCCCACATGGGCGCCGGTTCTAGTCCCGGCTGCTCCACTTCTGATCCAGCTCTCTGCTGTGGCCTGGGAAAGCAGTGGAAGATGGCCCAGGTCCTTGGGCCCCTGCACCCACGTGGGAGACCCGGACTTTCAAATAAATAAATCAATCTTAGGAAAAAAAAAAAAAAAAACACAAAGGAGAAACAAAACCAATGAAACCTCAGCTTTAAAGCTCAGGTAAAAATAAACAAAAGAAAACAAAAATAACAACGTCACTGCCACGTCCTGTGATCCGGATGCTTTTTCTTTATAGGCTTTCTATATACTCTATAATCCGCAATCATTTCTAAAGCCCAAACATGGACTGTAAGTGTTTCAGACAGAATGCAGCCACGCTGCAGACGACGGGGCCGCGCGGTGGAGCAGCGGGCCAAGGTGCACCTGTGGCGCCGGCGTCCCATCCGGGCGCCAACTGGTGTCCGGGCTGCTCCACCGCCTGGCCCAGCTCCCTACCAACGCATGCGGGAAAAGCAGCGGAAGACAGACCAAGTGTTCGGGCCCCTGCCGACCCACACGGGAGGCCCGCAGGCAGCTGCTGGCTCCTGGCTTCAGCCTGGCACAGCCCCGGCCATTGCAGCCATCTGGGGAGTGAAACAGCGGGTGGAAGACCTCTCTCTCTCTCTCTCTCTATATATATATATATATATATATCCACGCCCCAATAACTTTTTTCAAATAAATAAATATATTTTTAAAAACCGCAATGTCTACAAACATTTTTCAAGGCGTCAAAGCGTATTCACAGCTTTCGTGGCCCTCTACGAAGATGCAAATAACGGCTTCTCTACCTGATCGCAAACACATTAAGAACTAACGCAACCCAATGAAACTACCCGATTCGAGTCACAGCACTGCGTGTTTAAATACTTTATGGCTCAGGCCCAAAACTCCCCAAGGAGGCTGGGAGAAATGGAACTAACTATAACGGCAACCCCAGCCCATCGCTGGCGCACCCCTCTTCTTCAACCCGAACCAAGCCCAAACCAGACCAGGATGCACGGCTTCCAGCGGCCGGGCAGGGGCGGGCCGGCGGGAGACAGAACCCAGGAGCGCCTCACCGCCCGCGCCGCGGGACCCCCGCGGGACCCCGGCCCGGCCCCGGCCACGGATGCGCCACACCTGCGGGGGCTCAGTCAATGGCACCCGAGCCCGCCCTTCGCCCTGGGCGGCTTCTCTTCCCCCAGGTCGCCGGCCGGGCTGCCCCGGGCTCACAGCAAGACGAGGAAGGAGCGGCGTTGGCGCGCGGACACCGAGACCCGGCAGTGCAGGGCTCACCTTTCTGAGAGCAACCGAGGCCGCGGCCTCGCACACCTGCGGCGGAAGTGACTCTGCCCACAGCGGCCGCCGGGACTCCGCTTCCCAGAATTCCCGACGGCAGTGGGCACCGGGCCTGGGGGCTCCCGTGGCGGAAGTGAGCCTAGGGCGCCAGCTTCCCGGACTACATTTCCCAGAATTCCCAGCCCTCCTTGGGCTCCCGTGGCGGAAGTGAGCCTAGGGCGCCAGGTGCCCGGACTACATTTCCCAGAATTCCCAGCCCTGCCTAGGGCGGAAGTGCCGGCCACCATGCTGCGCGCCTGGGTTGTGTTTCTCAACATTCCCGCTGGAAACGAGGTCCGAAACTCCGCTTTCGTGCGGCAGGGCGCGCAGGAATTGGCGGCATTCCCGCGTCTTTCCCAGCCGAACGTGCGCTGACGGCACACCTCGGCTCTGGCTCTATTCTCCTAGGGTGCGGATGCTTCTAGAACTCTGACTAGCGCCACCTCTACCTACCAGGGGGGATTCCTGCCGGGGCCGCCAGTGAATGGACGCCGACGCCAAGAGTCGGCCACCGCGGCCGCGACGCCGGAGCCGGCGCCGAGGGGAGCAGCCGGTGTGCCCGCCTCTCCGTGGCTTTCGCTGCTGAACGTGAATGTGGGCCCTGCGGCCGAGGGGGGGACAGCATTGACCGGAGACAGAGTCCCAGTGTGGGGAGCGGCGACCTGCGTGGAATCCCCGAGCTGCTGTGGCATCCCCGGTGTCCATGCGGCTCTGTCCTGCAGAGAGGAAAGTGGGAAAGCTGACGGCTCAACCCAGCAGCCTTCAGCAGGGAGAAAGGGAAAGGGGAAGTCGAAGTGCCCACTTCTCTGCTGGGCGCCAAATACCCGGATGCACCGTGCCCGTCACACTGACCGGTTAGCCGTGCTGGGTGTTGTCTGCGGCTCTCACCAGCCCGCCGTGCCCTGCCGAAGCAGCCAGGCCACTGTCGGGCCGGCTTTCTCGGGTTCTGGATTGGTCTGATGGTGTCCATGTTGTACTGAAACCTCAATACTTCCTGCAAACGGGAGGCTCGGTCTAGAGGCTGAATAAACGTTTGCCACAAATACGGCACATCCGAGGCTGGAAATGGCTGGGCAAGGTCACGCGAAAGCTCCGCCTGGGGTCCTCTCAAGTTCTGGGCAGGTACTCTCGCCACGGGGTAAAAGAAAAAGGTTCAGCAGCCACTATGTGAAAATTCTCGATAATTCTGAGAAAAAACCATGCTAACAACACTGTGGAGTTTTCAATAATTATCTTACAGTTTATATATTATTAAAAGAGGATCAGTCTGACAATAGGTGAAACTTTTGGACAGAAATGACAGAAAATGTAAAGATACAATAGGCGGGGCCAGTGCTGTGGCATAGTGGGTAAAGCCCTCGGCTGCAGTGCGGGCATCCCAACTGGGTGCTGGTTCGAGTCCCAGCTGCTCCACTTCCCATCCAGCTCTCTGCTATGACCTGGGAAAGCAGTAGAAGATGGCCCAAGTCCTTGGGCCCCTGCATCCACACGGAGACCCGGAAGAAGCTCCTGGCTCCTGGCTTCAGATCGGCACAGCTCCAGCCATTGTGGCCAGTTGGGGAGTGAACCAGTGGATGGAAGACCACTCTCTCTCTCTGTCTCTACCTCTGCCTCTCTGTAACTGCCTTTCAAATAAATAAATATTAAAAAAAAAAAAAGCTACTTGCCCCATTCCACACTCACAGAGGTAACTGGTTCTGCTAAGCCCCGCGCCAGCCAGAGCCTTTTTAAAGGCAGAATACAGCCCTCCGTTTCCAGGACTGGCGTCAAAACTTTGCATCGTGCTCTGTCCATTTTTCCCTTCCCAAGCTGTTTCTCCTCCAGACAGCTACAGGGAATACTGCCAACAATGAAAAGGAACAAACGGGCCAGTGCTGACACAACACAGCGGGACATCCCGTACGGGCGCCAGTTTGTGTCCCGGCTGCTCTACTTCCCATCCAGCTCCTTGCTATGTTCTGGGAAAGCCCTGCACCCCCACGGGAGACCTGTTAGAAGCTCCTCGCTCCTGGCATTGGCCCCGGCCCATCCCGGGCTGCTGAGTCCATCTGGGGAGTGAACCAGCAGATGGAAGGTCTGTCTCCCTCTCTCTCTCTAACTCTTTCAGATACACGAGTAAACCTTAAAGAAGAAGAAGTTTCTTCAGGAAACTACTCTTCCTACTCTGCCATCTCCTCCAGGGCTCTGCTCAGACACATCGTGCATTCGATATAATTTAGCAAACCCTTCCGGACCCCCTTTCAACCCTGTCGTTTCCACTCCTTACCCTGATTGATGCCTCTAAATATCACCGAGTTTATAATTTCCTTACCAAGAGTTTCCTATTTGCTCTTCTATCAAGACTATACAAGCCGGTGCCGCGGCTCACTAGGCTAATCCTCCGCCTTGTGGTGCCGGCACACGGGGTTCTAGTCCCGGTCGGGGCGCCGGATTCTGTCCCGGTTGCCCCTCTTCCAGGCCAGCTCTCTGCTGTGGCCAGGGAGTGCAATGGAGGATGGCCCAAGTGCTTGGGCCCTGCACCCCATGGGAGACCAGGAGAAGCACCTGGCTCCTGCCATCGGATCAGCGCGGTGTGCCAGCCGCGGTGGCCATTGGAGGGTGAACCAACGGCAAAGGAAGACCTTTCTCTCTGTCTCTCTCTCTCTCACTGTCCACTCTGCCTGTCAAAAAAAAAAAAATGACTATACAAAGTAGTCCTTTCTCTACACCAGGATGAACACCATATATTTCCAGTAAAATTTTTTAAGATTACATGTCATTTATTTGTAAGGTTTTTTTTTTTTTAAAACAGAGTTACAGAGAGAGGAAGAGGCAGAGAGAGAGTGATTTTCCATGACTGGTTCACTCCCCAGATGGTCCCAACAGCCAGGAATGGGCCAGGCTGAAGCCAGGAGCTTCTTCCAGGTCTACCTCACATGGGTGCAGAGGCCCAAGCACTTGGGCAGCCATCCTCCACTGCTTTCCCAGGCACACTAGCAGGGAGCTGGATTGGAAGTGGAGCAGCTGGGACTCAAAGCCCCTTTGCCCACTACACCACAACACTGGCCCCAACATATCATTTACTTGATAATTCGTAATCATATTTCCATATACTTGCTTGCTATACCTATTGCTTCTTTTTGTACCTGCTCTTATTCCTTGTTGCATTCACACCCTCATTCCTATCGGGGTTTCATTATCCATGATCTTCCAGGATTCATACTTTAAGCATAGCGCTTTCAGCCCAGTTTGCTGTGTGTCCTCTCTATCTTTATTACGGTGACTTCAGTGTAGGGCAATTGGCGTTTTTCTAGACTCGCTCATTACCGCTGTCGCCTTGGCTGCGGCCCTGTGCACCCACAAAAACAACCAGTGTTTCCCTGGGTCATCGCCATCCTAAGCATTTTAAAAGTCACGACTTCATTTAACTCACAACTGCCCTAGGCCAGCCATACACGTGCACCCTGGAAACAACTGATTGACAGAGATTAAGTAACTCGTCCAACACTACGCAGCTAAGAAGGGCAGTGCTGACTCACGGACCCAACTAAAGGGCCAGGGGAACCCAAGAATCCTCACCCCCGGGGCCCTCCCTCTACCAGGGACCCGCACAGCCGCAAAGCCGGAGGGAACAGCAAACACTACAGCTCCCACTTCTCCTCGAGGCGAAGGGCGGGGCTTTCATTGGTCCCGCCTCCAGGCTGAAGGGACACAGAGGCCTCTGGGACTGGAGTCTCCCCTGGGGGCAGGCAGGCCAAGCCCCCTTGGGGCGGAAGTTCTGAGACTGACTTCACAGAGTCCTCTAGATAGCGCTGCTTGATTCCTTTCGCTCTAGTTTATCCGAAACAGTGAATTTTCTCAAGAAGCAATCAAGGGATCAAGTGAACGTCATAATCTCACGCCGACAAACAGGAGGGAAGAGTGAGGGCCAGAATGTTAGAGAAGGGAAGGGGAAGGGGGGGGGGGCTCACTGGCTGCATCGGATGCCCGCTGGCCAGGGGCTGCGGGAGCCCCCAAGGGCCACACACTCGCCCTTCCCTGTACAACCTCATGGGCTGCAGCCTGTTGCCTGCCCGTGCGTCTCTCTCTGTGAGGACACTAACCCCACAGATCACGGATGCACCCTTATTGAACCTCATTTCCTTCCTCGAAGGCTCCACTCCAAATGCAGGCACTTTGGGGGTTGCGGGGGCAACCTCCTGCCTGTAATCTGACTGCTGGGAGATGAGCCTGTCTCTCGGCTCCAAACCTCCAGGTGAAGCCACGCTTGTAGTGCCGGAACCCCGGGTTTTGCAAGCCGCGTGTCTGCTTTGCCAGGCGGCTCCGACCCCTGGGCGCCAGGGGGCTCTCTGCTAGGCTGGGGAACGGAGGAGGGGCTTCCTCCTTGGGGCTTGCTCCCTGTCCTCTCATCCCCCCAGGACCCTCACGTTCCCCGGGGCGGCGTCCTTGCAGCCGCATTCTCACCGAGCCCACCTCGCACAGCCCGCACCAGCCAGGGAGGGGCCCCTCAGCACGCAGCAGCCCCCGGGGCTCCTCTCCGACCCCAGCCACCCCAGCCGGCCAGCACGCCGCTCCTCCTGGGGCTCTCAGCTCCACGTCCATGGAGCCCTCCTCACAGAATTCGGTCTCCACCAGGCTGGGAGCTACTTCCACCATGCCCCGGAGTTCTCTACCCCTTCAGTATGCGGCTAACAGCTTTCCCTGGTTAGCAGTTCTGTGTACTGCATTCTCCCTGTTCAAACAGCTGGCTTTGCCTTGCCTTCTCCCAGACAGATCCTACCTGGTACAGAAGAAAGGAGAAGCACGGAGGACATTCCCGGTGGGGTCTGTGCCACTCGGTGCACCACCCACCCGGTGCACCACCCACCCGGTGCAACACCCGTGGTCACACAAAGCACCTCCCAGTCCCCGTCCGTGAACACCCGCTGAGTGCTGGCGGGAAGCTTTCTACAGAAGGAATCCCTCGCACAGACAAGCCTGCTGTTGCTTGCATATGCATATTTTATAACCCGAGGATATTGTCCAAAATGCCCCCTGTAGACGCTGCCAATTCACAAGCCCACTGCTGTCTGGGAATTCTTTTCCCATCACCCACCAAGACTCAGCCTTTTCGCTTTTTCGTGGCACACTGATTTCCTGCAATCACATTTAAAGGAACTAAGAGGGGCTGGACTTGTGCAGCGCATTAAGCTGCCACCTACAATGTCAGCGTCACATTTGACCACAGGTTCGAGTCCCAGCTGCTCCACTTCCAGTGCTGCACCCTGCCAATATGATTGGGAAAGCAACAGCAGATGGCCTAAGTGCTTGTGCCCCTGCCACTCACATGGGAGAGCCGATGGAGCTCCTGGCTCCTGGCTTCAGCCTGGCCCAGCCCTGGCCATTGTGGCCATCTGGGGAGTGAGCCAGCAGACGGAAGATTCTCTCTCTCTTTCTGTCTCTGTCACTCTGTCTTTCAAATTAAGAAAAAATTTTTAAAGGTACTAAAACTAGGTAACTGAAGACGTGGGCTCCTGGGTTTGTTTTTTTAAAGGTAAAATGGAAATTATTGGGACGAGTGGGAACATTTGGATCCCAAGTGTTTAAACACCGGGGTATGGATGTGCAGTCTCCTGAGTGTGATGACAGCAATGTGTGAATACCGGACGACGCCCTTATTCTTAGAAGAGACGAGCGGCCTGAGCAGGGCAGAGGGAGAGGAGCAAGGGGAAGCTTCTCACCCCCGTCTTGATGGAAACGGGAGGAAACATTCAGTCTTAGCGCCTCAGTGAGCTTACTGTTCGTGTGTTTTGATTGACACCCTGTGCCCCTCCCCCGTCTGTTAAGTATTCATGTATGAATATATCATGTTTTACTTGTCTCAGCCCCCATCTGCGGCCCACCCCCAGTACCGAGAGCCGGGAACTCAATCCAGGTCTCCCACACGGGTGGCAGGGCCCCAGCGGCCTGGGCCATCCCCGCAAGCGAGGGGGTCATTCCTTTGAGGACCATCCTGCTGGGCGAGACTTGCGGACGCATCCTAGTGACTGGGTGCTGGCCCAGGTCATCAAACTGCCCGTCTGCCCTCCCCACGCAGGCCTGCCTGCACTCCCAGGAGCTGCAACTGAGGCCCTGGCCACGTGCCCCTCGCCTACTGGGCTCCTCCCCAGTGTGGACCCTCTGCTGACCTTGAGGGTGGGCCCTCGCCTGTGGGCCTTCCCGCACACAGCCCCTCTGAGTGGGGTCCCGCCACCGTGGACTCCTGACTAAGGAGACCGGAGCCCTGTGAGACGCCCTTTCCACATTCCGGGCGCGTGTAGGGTTTTCCTCCTGCGGGCAGCCTCGGGGGGGTGCGAAGGTTGGAGTGGCAACCGAATCCCCTGCCACACTCATCACAGGCCTCGGGCTTCTGTCCGAGTGCACTTGCTGACGAAGGCTCAGGGTGCAGCATCTGTGACCGCGAAGCGCAGTCCCGCCAGAAGCCTTTCCCACACTCGCTGCCGGCGTGCACCTGCTGGACGCGGAGCGCTGCGCTCAAGTCCTTCCCGCAGCGGCATTTGCAGGGTGTCCCGCCATGTGCAGTCCGGTGTGGGAGGAGCCTTGGGCTCTGCGTGGGACCCATAGCGGCGCTGCCTGGCGTGAGCGTGCTGATGGACTGCAGGAACAAGCGGTGACCGAAACCTCTCCCACACCCGTCGCACCGGGAGGGCCTCTTAGGCCTGTGTGTCCTGATGGCCACCGCGGTGGGAGCTGCAGCCAAACCCCGTCCCACACTGGCCACAGCGGGGGGCTTCTCTCCCGAGAGGACCCACTGATGCCCCGGCCACACTCCCTGCACCTGTGGGCTCCTGGCCCACCTGTAGCCTCTGGCGGACCTGAAGCCCTGACCACTCACCGCATTCCCACGGCCTCTCACCAGGTGCGCCCTCTGATGGGCTTGCCCGCACGCCTCACGTGTACGTTTTCTTCCCACCGGCACCCCTGGATGACTAAGAACTGATTCATACCTGACCCCTTCCCCCAGGGGTCGCAGCAGCAGGCCCTCTGCCTCCAGGACTCTGGGACAAGGCTGCCTGCGTGTGCCCTGCCTGAAGCCCTGGCCCCGTTCCAGATCCCTAAAGGATTTGTCATGGGACTTCTAGGGGAGGGGGTTCCATCGAGACAGGTGCCAGGCCTCAGCCCCTGGCAGACCCGTGATACTGCCAGGGTTTCTTGTTCACGGGCACTCGAGGACGAGCGGGAAGGTCGGAACTGTCCCTGAGGCCATCTGCACACTCAGGACTTCTAAAGCCATCTCTCAGGGCTCTGTGTGAAAGGAACCTTGATTCTTTTTTTTTAATATTTATATTTATTTGAAAGGCAGAGTTACAGAGAGAGAGAGAGAGAGGTCTTCCATCCACTGGTTCCACTGTTTCACTCCCCAGTTGGCCGCAACCGCTGGAGCTGCACCAATCCGAAGCCAGGAGCCAGGAGCTTCTTCCAGGTCTCCCACACGGGTGCAGGGACCGAAGGACTTGGGCCATCTTCCACTGCTTTCCCAGGCCACAGCAGAGAGCTGCATCGGAAGTTGAGCTGCCGGGTCTCAAACCAGTGCCCAAACGGGATGGCGGCACTGCAAGCGGCGGTTTTGCCCGCCACGCTACAGCGCCGGCCCTGATTCTATGTCATGAAGGCACTTCACATCCTATGCATCCGTGTCTCCTACGGGGTTAAAGGCAATTCAGAGATGCTCAGGAGGCATCTTTTACAGTTGGACAAATAATAACAGCCTAGAGGAAAAATGAGTTTCCTGTATCTTAGCTATCAGGAATGTTTTGTGGGTGGGGGCAGGTTTTTGTTGACTTATTTCAGAGACAGAAGACAGAGAAAAAGGCAGCTCCCATCCGCTGGTTCACTGCCCAGAGGCCTGCAGTAGCGGGGCTGGGCCAGGTCGAAGTCAGAGGAGAGAAACCCTGGCCAGGCCTCCCAGGGTCTGCTCAGCAGGAGGCTGGAGCCAGGGCTCAAACACAGGCTCCCGGATACAGGACACAGGCATTTCTCTTTCAGGTTTATTGTGAAGGAAAGGCGGGGAGGGGAAACAGAGAACCTCCATCCATCGGTCCACTCCCCAGACGGCTGCAATGGCCAGCAGTCTCAGCTAAAGTCAGAGCCAGGAACTCCATCTGGGTCTCCAGCATGTGTCAGGGGCCCAGGTACTTGGTCCACCTGCCACCGCTTTCCCACATTAGCAGGGAGCTGGGTGAGAAGTAGAGCAGTCAGGATCAGAACTGGCACCCCATTATCTGCTCCAGCTCCCTAACGATGTTCAGCGGAGGATGGCCCAAGTGCTTGGGTCCCTGCCACACGTACGGGAGACCAGGATGGAACTCCTGGCTCCTGGCTTCAGCTTGGCCCGGCCCCAGAAATGGCAGCCATCTGGGAAGTGAACCAGTGGTTTTTCTATCTCTGCCTTTCAAATAAATAAATACATTTTTAAAATATATATATTCAGCTTGCCTGGCTGCAACCTAATTGTCCTATTTACCATATAGTTCCAGAAGACTTCAAAAATCTGTCCATGTTTGCTGGTCTTTTTTATTAAACATTTTTCTTTTTAGGACTCAAGTAAGCATAATCTGTTTATCACTAAGCACTTGTAAGATACTGAAGTGGGAAATTCACCACAGGACTCCAAATATTCTGGAACATTCTCTCTACTATTGACTTGCCTTACATTGCCCAAGGAAAGGTCAGAGACGCCTCACTCCCTCTGGCATATCACTCTCTAAAAGCATGGAGGCACTGTGGAGAAGGCAGGCACTTACCAGAAACCAGGCTGCGGAGGCACATCCTGCTCACCCGCTCCCTGTCCTATTTCGAATGCAGCAGCTTACTAAGCTTGAAGGGGCGTTGCCCTGAAAATTCGAGAAGATGCAAAAAAAAATCATCTGAAATGCAGTCCCAATCCCCTGACTGTCATACCTCTGAAAGTCAGGAGCAGTAAGGTCTGAAGACATACAAGGCAAACACACAGGACCAGCCCAACGCAGCCACTTTCTAACAATGCAAGTCTGAATTTCAGAGTGCCCTCAAAGTTCACAATCCTGCCCCCTTATGGTGGTACAGGAGGTGGGTCTCTGGGAGGTCACTAGGTCTTGAATGGGACTCACGCCCTTAGGTGGCCACTTGAAAGACCAGTATGGAGGAACTCACCCCACCCCTAGCCCACATAAGATATAAAAAGGCCCAGCAGCCCCTGGGGTCTGGGTCTCCTGCCGCACATTCTGTCAATGTTGTAAGGCTGCCACAAAACACTGGAGTTAGCGGGAAGATTTACTGTTGGGTGGGGGAAGCCCAACGGGCCGGGGTAGAAGGCAAGAGTGAGAGAGAGAGGGCGCGTGTTTGGGAACAGGTTCTGTTAAACCTTTGCCGGGGGACGGGCAGGGAAGTAGGAGCAGCAAATCCCATTAGGTTGGGGGTGAAGCTGACACCCGAGGTTGGCCATCTGGTCACCTGGCTTCTAGCAATGGCTAGAGCCTAAGATGGCGTCCGGGGCATGGGGTGCTACACAGATAAGACTGTGCCATTTTACTATCAAATGTGCACATGGGGACTTGGTCACCTCTGAGGACTTATTTTCTCTGAATAAATTCGGTCTGGCTATAGATCTGTGCCCTGCCACCTCTCTGTCTGCACCTCTTTCCCTTACATTACGGTGCCCCATGTGAGGCGGCACCGATCTGTACTCTTCCCTGTAGAGGTTTCCCTCACTCACGGAGAGCAGGTTCCAGTTCTCCGGCATCACAGCCTGGCACAGCCTCCTCTGGGCAGAGTCCAGCAGCCCCAGCTCTGCCTCAGTGAGGAGCACAGCCACATCCTGGAAGGTCAGTGGCTCCTAAAATGAAAACCATCAGCCTGAAATCCACTCCACAAAAGATAAATTGTATCATTAAGAAAACTAGACCGGCAAGCAAGGACCAGCGTTGTGGTGTAATGGGCCAGTTCTGGTCCCAGCCGCTCCCCTTCCAATCCAGCTCCCTGCTAATGCACCCAGAAAGCAGCAGAAGATGGCCCAAGTGCTCGGGCCCCTGCACCCACGTGGGAGACAAAGATGGGGTTCCAGGCTCCCGGCTTTGGTCTGGCCCAGCACCGGCATTGGGGCTATTTGGGGAGTGATCCAGCAGATGGAAGAACTCTTTTTCTTTCTTTCCCTCTGTCATGCTGCCTTTCATATAAACAAAATAAAATAAAAAAAGATGAGGCCAGTGCTGTGGCACAGTGGGTAAATCCACCACCTGTGATGCCAGCATCCCAAATGAGTGCTGGTTGGGTCCTGGCTGCTTCACTTCTGATCCAGCTCCCCGCTCACGGCCTGGGGAAAGCAACAGAAGATGGCCCAAGTGTTTGGACTGCTGCCAGCCACATGGGAGATCTGCTTGAAGCTCTTGGCTCCCGGCTTCCGCCTGGCCCAATGCTAGCCACTGCAGCCATTCTAAATGAGGCTGCACCAACTACTCTTTTTTTTTTTTTTTTTGACAGGCAGAGTGGACAGTGAGAGAGAGAGACAGAGAGAAAGGTCTTCCTTTGCCGTTGGTTCACCCTCCAATGGCCGCCACGGCTGGCCTGCTGAGGCCGGCGCACCGCGCTGATCCGATGGCAGGAGCCAGGTGCTTCTCCTGGTCTCCTATGGGGTGCAGGGCCCAAGCACTTGGGCCATCCTCCACTGCACTCCCTGGCCACAGCAGAGAGCTGGCCTGGAAGAGGGGCAACTGGGACAGAATCCGGCACCCCAACCGGGACTAGAACCCGGTGTGCCGGCGCCGCAGGCGGAGGATTAGCCTACTGAGCCGCGGCGCCGGCCCCCAACTACCCTTTGAACACTTGTTCTAAGAATAAATTCTTGGAGTAGGAAATACTGGACCAGGCATGCAGAGCATTTCCCCACACCCTGGCCAACAGGAAACCCTGGTCTTCCAGCTCTTTGTCCCTGTGCTAGAGAGAGAATCCCACTTAACCTTGTTTCAGTCTCCATTGCTTTGATCATAGAGGCTGATCATCTTTTCACGTGATTATCAACCACTGGGTTTTCTTTCTTTCTTTTTTTTTTTTTTTTTTTTTGACAGGCAGAGTGGACAGTGAGAGAGAGAGACAGAGAGAAAGGTCTTCCTTTGCCGTTGATTCACCCTCCAATGGCTGCCGCGGCTAGCGCACCGTGCTGATCCGAAGGCAGGAGCCAGGTACTTCTCCTGGTCTCCATGGGGTGCAGGGCCCAAGCACTTGGGCCATCCTCCACTGCACTCCCTGGCCACAGCAGAGAGCTGGCCTGGAAGAGGGGCAACCGGGACAGAATCTGGCACCCCAACCGGGACTAGAACCCGGTGTGCCGGCGCCGCAAGGCGGAGGATTAGCCTAGTGAGCTGTGGCGCCAGCCATCCACTGGGTTTTCTTGTTTCCCTTTCTAAACAAAAATGCTTAGGTCTTTATTTGTACTCCTTTGTTTAAAATAAGGATATTAAAAATGTGCTGCAGATGACACTTGGCCTCCAGTGTGTTAACTCTGAACTGTTCATGCTGTACTTTGGACACGGAGAATATTACATCTATAAATGAGTAAGTGCATTGTCCCATGGAGAAGAACATCCCAGGGAGAGAAGGAGGGTCCCTCAGGTGGAGAGGCCCTGTCCCATGGCCGGGGCTCAGGGTCCCACTCGAGCTCCCACAGAATGGCATTACTGCCAGGCAGCGTGTGCAAGCGGAATGGCGGACAGAACACAGAACCCTCCGGACCTGACTTCAAATCCGCACTCACTCACTTACCCTCTCTAAAAGCGGACCACACCCTCTGTCTCTCCGAGCTCTTGCGTGGATAAAGAGAAGAGAACTGTGCTGTCCTCACAGAACACACCGCCTTCTCCTCTCCCTTTCCCCGAGGAGGAGGACGTGTTTCCTCCCTGAAGCATGAGGCAGTACTTACGGGGAGACAAGAAAGCTTGATCCGCCTGAAACCCGGTCTTGTCCCTCTGTCTTGGCAAGGGGCGGAGGCCTGAGAATGAGAGCTGGGAGAGGAGAACACAGCCATGACGAGGAGATAGTGGTGCCGGCCTGGCACGCTCAGACCCCCTGCCTGGACCGCAGGAGGCTGTGCCCCTTTACCCACTGGTTTCTCCTCACCCACCCAGCTTTTTCTCTCTCCACACTCACCTTGGATTCTCCACCTCATTAACTTTTTTATTTTTTTTTTTTTTGACAGGCAGAGTGGACAGTGAGAGAGACAGAGAGAGAGAAAGGTCTTCCTTTGCCGCTGGTTCACCCTCCAATGGCCGCCGCGGCCGGCGCACCGCGCTGATCCAATGGCAGGAGCCAGGTGCTTTTCCTGGTCTCCCATGGGGTGCAGGGCCCAAGCACTTGGGCCATCCTCCACTGCACTCCTGGGCCACAGCTGAGAGCTGGCCTGGAAGAGGGGCAACCGGGACAGAATCCGGTGCCCCGACCGGGACTAGAACCCAGTGTGCTGGCGCTGCAAGGCGGAGGATTAGCCTAGTAAGCCGCAGCGCCGGCCCTCATTAACTCTTACCTCTCTGGCATGCCTTGAGGTCAAAGTCCTCCTCGTCCCATCTAGCTCAGGAGCAGCTTCACTTTATTCTGGTCACCCGACGCTCCAAGGCAGAAGATGCAGGCCTTCTTCATTTCCACAGCCTCCAGACTCGGGCAAACTCCAAGGGACACGGGAGGGCAGAGGCCCTGCGTCCACCTTCACTGTTCGCAGCCCGATCACTTGTGTGTTCCAAGGACCTCAAGTGCTCAAGTCCAAGGCCCTTCCTCCGAGCCCCAGAGCTCCAGTCTCTGCAAGCTTCACATCCTCTGAATGCCATCGCTCAGTGGTTTTGGGGGCACTTCCTGAGAAGCTGTGATGGACAGCCGCTGCCCGAGAGCCATGAGTGAGGCAGAGGGCAGGGGAAGGCCCCAGAAGTGTCTGCAGAGGGCCTGGTGGCTGACGTCTCAGGGAGACACAGGGCTCTTCTCAGACCCAAGGGTTCCAATATGGGACATGGGCTTTCCAAGTGGCATCTCAACCACTGGGACAAATGCCTACTCCAAAATAAATGCTTTAAATGAAAATGAAACATGCAGGATTTTACAGAAAGCTAATTACTAAAATATAATCTTCAGAATAATTAAAGGACCAAGTGTGTGCTTCTGTATCAACACTTATATATGAAGTATGAATTTAGCTGCTGTAATATAAACAGGGGCCAGTGCTGGGGCCCAGGCAGTGAAGCCCCGACCTGCAGTGCTGGCATTCCATATGGGCATGGGTTTGAATCCCAGCTGCTCCACTTCCAATCCAGCTCCCTGCTAATGAACCTGGGAAAGCAGCAGAAGATGAACCAAGTGCTTGGGCCCCTGCACCTATGTGGGAGACCTGGAAGAAGCTCCTGACTCCTGACTTTGGCCTGGCCCAGTCCCAGCCATTACAGCCACCTGGGGATTGGGAATGAACCAGCAAATTCAAGATCGATAACTCTCTCTCCCTCTTCCTCCTCCTCTCTCCTCCAGCTTCTCTCCCTGTATTTCTGCCTTTCAAATAAATAAATCTTTTAAAACATATAAAAATAAGAGTCTAAAATATAAATAGTCTGCAATACCACTCAACAACAACATGGCATAAAAATGTCTACAATACATATGGGTAACAAATCACAAGTACTCCTAATATTATCGTGGTTGGTTGACTACATTATAATTAAAGGAAATACTTAAAGTTTAGACCCTGTAAAAATATTCTTCCCATTCAAGTTCATGGACCTGCTGAATTATGACCCTGGACTCATTTCAAGAACTTATTTTCTAAATGAAATCTCTGCCACCACCCCTTCACTAAATTATTCACTCCGGCATCCAGGAACAGTTGGTTTAAGTTGCTGGTTACCACCTTCCACAGCACCTCCCTTGCTAAGACCTCGGAACCAGCATGAGAATTGAGCTGGCTTGTCTCATTTACTTCCTCCACCGGGCATGGGACTGGCACAGGGGGCGCTCATATGCCTGCTCTCCATAAGTCAGGACTGCCTCAAGATTCAGTCCATGCAGTTCTTTTTCGTGGTCATTCAACCCCTGGGTGAACACATCTAGTCTCAGCTTCAAGGAGCATCTATACACTGATGACTCAATGCCAACTTGACACCTCCACTTGTACGTCTAAAAAGCATCTCAAACTTGGTAGCGCAACACCAAACTCCAGATTTACCTCTAGGGGAACTTCTCTTCTTTCAAATGAACAAGCTAAATACTTTGGAGTGATCCTTAGTTTTTCTCTTTCTCATGTACTATGTCCAATTCATCAACAAATACCTTCAACTTCAAAGAGAGCTCCCTCATTACAGAGCTGAGAGAAAGGCACACCCCACTGCGGCTGCCCAAAGCCACCTGTCTGCAAACCCACATACATTCGCTGCAGCTTCCAGGAAGCCATGGGAAGCACGACACACTCCCAGACTTTGAGCTCAGAGGTATGACGTGGAAGTGTGGACATCAAGACCAGCATTGTGGTGCAGCGAACAGTGCCTGCAACACGGGCACCCTATCTGGGCAGCGGTTTGAGTCCCGGCTGCTCAACTTCCTGCTAATGCATCTGGCAAAGCTGAAGATGGCCCAAGTGCTTGGGCCCCTGCAGCCACGTGGGAGACCCGGAAGAAGCTCCTGGCTTTGGTCTGGCTCAGCCCTGGCCATTGTGGTCATTTGGAGAGTGAAACAGCAGATGGAAGATCTGTCTCTTCCTCTCTTTCAAAAAAATACAGAAGACTGGACATCACCCAGTGTGTGCCCAAGACACTACAGCAACACAGCCAACGACATTACATCAAAACATCTTACAGCTTGTACAGGGCTTAATGCCTTTCAAAGGGATACACAGAGAACAGGAAAATCAACTTCTGCAGCTGCTTACAGAAATGACTTCGGGGACAGAAAATGCTGGAATTAGTATAGTGGAGGGTGGGTGGCTACCCCGAAAGAATTCAAGGTATCATGGATCCAAGACAGCCATGCTGTCTCAAAGCTGGAGCCGCAGGCCTCAACCTGATAGCTCCAGGCCTGCAGGTGTGAGGTGCAGGGGCCCAAGCCCGCCCCCATCAACCTGGGATGCTTCAACCTCCAGAAACCGTATCTCAGCCAGGCCCAGAACGTTGAAATCCCCTGGCTCCAACTGCCACACGCCACCCTTCCCCACCAGGACCTAAAGATGACTCTGGTTCTTAAGGTCCTCCAATGCGCCTCACCATCTCCTAAGAAACCACCACTGAGTTGTGCTCGCCAGAAGCAGAAGTGTAGACCCAGGAGCTCAGACTACATTTCCCAAAGGCCTCTGTGGTGTGAGGTCTCCTTTGGGATCAGCCCAGAGTCCAGATGGAGGTGGGTGTGAGTCATGTTCCTGTGTTCAGCTTGGGGTCACCTGGTACACCTCCCCTCCCTTGAAAAAGAAGAAAATTGGAAATACACGTAGGAACTCTGACAACAGCCCTAACCCTAACCTCTGGCTAATGAGCGGTTTTGTGGGTATAGTGGGCTGAATCTTGAAGAAACCCCAGGGAAGGTGGAGAGTAACTGGGTGCCACAAACACTGAGAGGAGCCTGGGGGCGAAAACCATGAAGAATGAGTTACCAAGTGTTTTCTGTGTCTGCCTGGCTGATTCCCAAAGACACCAGGGGATGACTGGAGAGTAACTGAGACACTGGAGAGAATCCGGGGGATGCAGGAGAGGAACCTGGGGAAGGCTGTGAGTCTCGAATATTCTGCATAGAGACAACCTTAAAGAACCCATTATAACAACAATGTGAACTAAAAATCAAGTCCCGCAAAGTTTCCAGGTATAAGATAATACACAAAAATAAATCATATTTATATACAGTAACACTGAACACTGAAATTAAGAAAGTTCTAATAAGATTCCTAAACACAAGGAAGTGATAAACATTTGAGGAGATGGAAATTCTAATTACCTTGATTTGACAGAGACCACTGCACAGTGTATACATGTATCAAATTATCATACTATATGCCATAAATATTTATAATTATTATGTTTAAATTAAAATTTTAAAAGAGAACAATCTGGTTTACAATAAAATAAAAAATAAAAAAAATACTTAGAAATAAATTTGACCAAAAAAATGTACTGTGTATACTATGAAAACTATAAAATATTGGTGAAATTATACATGACATAAATAAATGGAAAGACATACCATGTTCATGAAAAAGAACACTTAATTTGCAAAGATGGTAATAATTCCCCAAGCAATCTACACATTCCGATCAAAATCCTACCTGGCAATTTTGCAGAAACTGACAAACTAATCCTAAAGTTCATATGGAAATCCAATGGACCTCAAATAACTGAAACAATCTTGCAAAACAAGAATGGAACTGGATGGCACAGACTTCCTGTATTTAAACAAATGAGAGGTCTTCAAAAGGCTACTGGAAATGCAGCTATGAAGAAACTAAGCATGGATTTCCATTTTGCACCAAAATAAATATGGTTTAATTCCACTCTCCATGAATTTTTGAAGTACTCTAGCAGTCAAAGAAACAATAGACATGACCATGTGGTACCGAGATTAAAAGCCACAGATTAATGGGATAAACCTGAGAGTTCAAAATTAAGTCCTTACATTTATATTCAATTGATTTTCAGAGTGTGCTGAGACAATTAAATGGAAGAAGGGACTATCTTGTTAACAAATCATACTGGGAGAACTGGATACCTTTATGTAAAAGAATAACATTGGATACCTCGCTCAAACCACACACCAAATTAATTCAAAATGAACTGTGAATCAATGTAAAACTTCAAAAGATAAAAATCTTAGAAGAAAATATGGGAATAAATCTTAATAACCTTGAGTTAAAGCCTCTTTAAGATATGACACCAAGAAACATGAGATAAAAAACAAATTATATATTATCAAAACTTAGAATGTGTTTAAAACAATACCAACAAAAAAGTGACATGACAACTACAGAATGGGAGAAAATACTTGCAAATCATGTATCTGACATACAATTTGTATTTAGAATATATATATATATAATTCTTACAATTCAATAATAAAGACAACCCAATTTTTAAATTGTGCTATGGATTTGAATAAACATTTTCCAAAGTTAAATAAATGAACACCAAGCACATGAAATGATGTTCAGCGTCATTAGAATCAGGAACTACAAGTGAAAAATATTGATACCACTTCAAACTCACTAGAATGGATATAACAACGACAAAAAAAAAGATAGTATTGCGGCTTGGCTAGGAAATGGAGAAGCTGCAACCTTCATACAGGCTGATGGAAACACCAGTTGCTGCAGTCCTTCTGTGAAACAGTCTGCAAATTCCTTAAAAAGGTAAATGCAGGGTTTCCATGTGACTTGCAATTCCACTCCCCAGTAAGTACCAGGAGAAAAATATGCGCCCACATGAAATCTTGGACATGAATACCCACAGCAGCCAAAAAGCAGAAGCAACCTAGTGTCTGCCAGTAGCTAAATGGGTAATAACAAGTGGCATATTCATAAAATGTGATGTCATTCTGCCAGAAAAACGAATGAAGCTGTGGTCCATACACCAGTGAGGATAACTTGAAAACACTATGCTAAGTGAGAGAGGGTCAGTCCCAAAAATTCACAACTCAGAATTCCATTTATAAACTCCATTGGTAAGAACAGGCAATCTATAGAAATGGAGAGTAGATTCCTTGTGACCTAGGACTGAGGGTAGAGGTGGTAGTTAAAGATAGAGTAAGTAGCAACTGCTAATGCACACAGGGTTTCTTTTGGGGGTATAAAAAAACTCAAAAATTGACTGTGGCTATGGTTGCACAATGGTGGGAATACACTGAGCGCCATTGAATCGTGCCCTTCAAATGCATCGATTAATTGCATGGAGGGCATCAGCGATGAACTGCAGCTGCACTAAGTTGGGAGCAGAGAGTAGGAAAAAATTCTATACCAAGGCAGAAAGACAGAACCAGTGTGGATGGCAGAAATATAAAGAACAGGAAATGGCCTTATTTATAAGCCAGAGATCTTTCGCTGGGTGCTCACACCAACAGTGTCACCACCAGGCAGGGCGGGTCATGCCTGCCCTGTCACTGCTGGTGTGGTCTGTAGGCATGAAGGCAGCCAGGTGCATCCTGGCATTGGCAGGCAGGGACATGACCCTGCCCCACTGAGGGGGACAACGGCCAGGGTGATGACACTGGCCATTGCAGGTGCTTCTTCTGCGAGCCACTGAGTGACAGTAGCAACTAGAAGGGCAGGCATGAGGGTGAGGATGAAAGCTAAGAGGATCTCTTCTGCAGGAACAAGACACAGGGTCATGGGGCGCAGTAGCTTGGCTGCCCTGAGGTTGTCCCAGTGAGGCAGAAGATGAGGGTATGGCCACGAGGGCACATGCGGGAGCTGTTACTATGCAGGTGACAGGCAGAGGGGAACCATCAGGGGTGGTCTGAGAGTCATGGGGAGCTTCCCCAGGGTGATGGGCTGACTCCGGCACAAACCGACGGGTGGTGTGAGAGTAGCCGGGTGGTCTGGGAGAGTCCCTGAGGACTCTGGGCAAGAGATCAGACATGGGAAAGGGGCTCAGTGAGGTGTAGCGGCACATAGGTGTTTCCTGTGTCAGGCGGCCAGTCTCCCCCGGCGATCTAGGGAAGGTGGAGTAGCTAGGTGACTCAGCAAAGTCCCCGTGGGCCAAGGGTGAGGAGACTGGTGACACAGGGGAGTGTGGAGACTCCTGTGAGTTACCAGAACTTTCAGGGGTATAGCGGGCTGACTCTTGAAACCTGGGGGAGGATGGAGAGTGACTGGGTGACATGGGACAGTTGTTGAATGTCACATAAAATGAGACAGAGGACTCGCTGGAGGCGCCCGGTGAAGACTGTGAGCTACTGGGCGTTCCCTGTGTCTGCTGGGCTGAGTCTCGCTGAGACCTGGGGGTGTCTGGAGAGTGACTGGGTGACACAGAAGCATCCCCGAGGGCTGCGGGAGAGGAAGGAGACCCAGCGGTAACATATGAGACCTGTGAGTCACCACTAGCTGTTGCCTGGGTCTCTTGGTCAGGCTCCCGACTCGATCTGGGGGTGGCTGGGGAGCAGCTGAGAGACACAGGAGAATCCCTGGGGCCTGGGGGAGTGGAAATGAGGGGCACAGGAGAGGCCCGTGCTGGAGTTTGTGAGTCTCCACACGCTGCCCGAGTGTGTCTGGCTAACTTCCGCCGAAGTCTGGGGATGACTGAGCAGCAGCCGGGAGACAGAGGAGTGGTCCTGATGCTTCCGGATGGAGCAGGAGAAGACCTGGGGGAGGCACCTGGGGGGCCCTCTAAGTTACAAGGCCTTCCCTGTGTCTGCTGAGTAGACTCCCGCAGAGATCTGGGGGTGGCTGGAGAAGTGGGGGAGACGCCGCCAGTACACGAGGAGGGCCGGGAGTCACTCGGTGTAGACTGTGTCTGCTGGCCACCACTGGGGGTGGTCGGGGCATAGCGGCGTCTCAAGTGAGCGCGCCTTAAGGGTGGGGGAGAAGGGACGCGGGACGTGGGAGTGAAATACCGGAAGGTCCCCGAGTTCTCAGGTGTTCTCGGGGTCAGGTGAGCGGACTCCCCCAGATACTCAGGGGTGGCCGGGGCGTAGCGGGGCCTCACGGGAGCGCGCCTGAGGGGCGGGGGAGGGGAGATGCGGGATGGGGGGGTGAAACACGGGAAGGTCCGCGGGTTCTCAGGTGTCCTCGGGGTCAGGTGAGCGGACTCCCCCAGGTACCCAGGGGTGGCCAGGGCGTAGCGGGGCCTCATGCGAGCGCGCCTTAAGGGTGGGGGAGGGGAGACGCGTGACGGGGGGGTAAAATACTGGAAGGTCCCCGAGTTCTCAAGGGTCAGGTGAGCTGACTCCCCCAGATACCCAGGGGTGGCCGGGGCGTAGCGGGGCCTCGCGGGAGCGCGCCTGAAGGGCGGGGGAGGGGAGACGCGGGCCCCTGGTGGAGTTCGTGGGTATCGAGGTGTTGCCTGCACCTGCGGAAATCTGGGGACGGGTGGGGAGTAGCTGGGGGACAGGGGAGACGCCCTGCGGGGCGGGCGGGAGGGGAAGGCGCCCCGGGGTGTCCCCGGGGAGCCAGGGGGGCCCCGAGCCGGGCGGGCGGCCGGGGAGTAGCGGGCTGCGGCGGGGGCCGGCCCGAGCGGCGGGGGCGAGGGGCAGGGGCCCCGCGCAGGGGCGGCGGCCAGGCCGGGCGACGAGGGCAGGAGGAACACGTGGTAGACGGTGGACGCCGCCGCGGCCTCGGAGAAGAGCCCGAGCGAGCACACGTCGGCGCACCAGGGCTGGGCCGGGGGCCGGGAGCGGCCCTCGGCGGGGTCGGGGGGCAGCCCCGTCTCCTCCAGGGCGGCCACGAGGGGCGGCCCGGCGGGCCCCCCAGGGACGAGGCTGCGTGTGGGTGGGAGGGGGCGCGCCCTGGCCACACGGCGGGAGCTGGCAGAGGCGGCAGACGGGCGGATCCCCTTACCCAGGCGAGCGTCCTCCCGGCGTCGGACTCGAGTCCAGGCCGGCGCACGCCGCCCGGCCCGACAGATGCCAACGCCGCTCTCCTGAGGCGCGCCCCGCCCCGGGCGCCGCCTTAAATACCCGCGGGGGCGGGCCTGAGCGCGGAGGGGGCGGGGCCTGCCGCCGCCGCCGCGCCTGACGGACAGCTGCCCCTCGGGGGGGCGGGGCCTGCCGCCGCCGCCGCGCCTGACGGACAGCTGCCCCTCGGGGGGGCGGGGCCTGCCGCCGCCGCGCCTGACGGACAGCTGCCCCTCGGGGGGGCGGGGCCTGCCGCCGCCGCGCCTGACGGACAGCTACCCCTCGGGGGGGCGGGGCCTGCCGCCGCCGCGCCTGACGGACAGCTGGCCGCTCCGAGGCGGGAAGTTAGAACTCTCCGTGGGCCGGCGCCGCGGCTCACTAGGCTAATCCTCCGCCTAGCGGCGCCGGCACACCAGGTTCTAGTCCCGGTCGGGGCACCGGATTCTGTCCCGGTTGCCCCTCTTCCAGGCCAGCTCTCTGCTGTGGCCCGGGAGTGCAGTGGAGGATGGCCCAGGTGCTTGGGCCCTGCACCCCATGGGAGACCAGGAAAAGCACCTGGCTCCTGCCTTCGGATCAGCGCAGTGGGCCGGCCGCGGCGGCCATTGGAGGGTGAACCAACGGCAAAAGGAAGACCTTTCTCTCTGTCTCTCTCTCTCACTGTCCACTCTGCCTGTCAAAAAAGAAAAAAAAAAAAAAAAAAAAAAAACAACTCTCCGTGGCCAAAGCCGTCCGGTGCTGTGCTAGCTGAGGCCCGGCGGCCGGCAGCCCAGGGGCTCCGCAATCCGGGGTCCAAGCGTGGCTCCCCCTAATGCTCACGCCCCGCACGGTGGAGGCGGAGACAGGCCGCAGCCCGCCTCGGAGGCCGTGGGCGACGGGTCGTGCGTGGGCGCTCGTGAGCGGGTCGCCGTGAGGTCGGGTCATCTACTAAGACCTTACCTTGGAAATTACTTTTTAAATTCTGCTCGCGCGCGTGATGCTGATTAGACGGAGACTCGCGAGTGCTCGGGTGCATTCGGGGTCAGCCCTGGGCGCTGCCCTGGGTTGTTGCTGTCCAGGAGCCAGGAGCTTCTTCCGGGTCTCCCACGTGGGTGCAGGGGCCCAAGGACCTGGGCCATCTTCTGCTTTCCCAGGCCACAGCAGAGAGCTGGATCGGAAGTGGAGCAGCCAGGACTCGAACCGGTGCCCATATGGGATGCCGGCACTGCAGGCAGCAGATTTACCTGCTACACCACCATGCTGGCCCCTGTATAAGCATTAAGGAGCTGTAAATAGTCTGTTTCTTAGTGAATTGCTTTCTTTATGTCAGTAGGCATTGATGAAGGATGTCCAGTTTGTTTATGAGGTAGAGTGACAGGACTCACTCTACAAACGACCACAATGACGGGGCCTGGGCCAGGCTGAAGCCACAATCCCGGAACTCCCTGCTGGCCACCCACGGGGCTGGGGGGCAGGGACTCAAGCGTTTGGGCCATCATGCACTGCCTCCCAGGCTCGGCGGCAGGAAGCTGGAAGGAAGTGGCGTGGCAGGACTGGCACTGGGACTCTGACATGGGGTGGCCGGGGGTGGCTGACCCTGCTGTGTCAAAACAAGGCCCATGTGTGCCTCTTAGAGCTGGGCGGGGCAAAACAAGCCAGACAGACTTGGAATTCGTCAGCCCCGCCGAGGTCAGTGTCACGTGCACAATCTTCCGTCCCAGCTGGGCCACAGGCAGAGGCATGGAGGCTGGGACACTTCCTCCCACTGTGGGGTGTGTGTGTGTGTGTGTGTGTGTGTGTGTGTGTGTGTGAGACTCCTCCCTGCCAAGGTGCATTCCGAGTCCTTAGCTGGGATGGGAATGGTATCGTTCTGCTCTACAAACGCCATCCTATCTCAGAGTGTGGCAGGGGCTGGTGCTGTGTCTCAGCTGGTTAAAGCCCCAGCCTGTAGAGAGTGCAGGGGCCCAAGGACTTGGCCCATCTTCCACTGCTTTCCTAGGCACATTAGCAGGGAGCCGGATTGGAAATAGGGCAGCTGGGACTCAGACTGGCACCCACAACGGGATGGCAGCACCACAGGCAGCGGCTTTACCCACTACACTAAAGCACCAGCCCCGTGTTTATCTTTCTTAAGATTATTTATTCGAAAGGCAGAGTGAGGAAAGGGGTGGGGGGAGAGGGAGAGACAGACAGATCAATCTTCCATCCACTGGTTCATTCTCCAAATGGTCACAACAGCCAGCGCTGGGCCGGGCCAGGGCCAGGAGCCGGGAACTCCACCCTGGCTTCCAACATGGGTGGCAGGGACCTGAGCATTCTGCTGCCTTCCCTGGTACATTAGCAGGGGGCTGGACGGAAGCAGAGACACCAGGACTCAAAGTGATGCTCTGATACAGGAGGCCGGGGGCACAGGTGGCGGCTTAACCCGAGCCCCCCCAACAACTGCCTCCATATTTGTCTTCACGCTTTCTCCTTTGATTCAAAACTAAGTCACGTAGAGCAGTAAACTCTATTCTAATAGCTTTCCCAGGTTCCAAGGGTTTGGCCACTACATTGTCTCATGTAATGCTTCCTAGATGGTTTTAAAAATCAAGCTGTGAGGCCAGGGCTGCAGCTCACTAGGCTAATCCTCCACCTGCGGCGCCGGCACACCGGGTTCTAGTCCCGGTCGGGGAGCCGGATTCTGTCCTAGTTGCCCCTCTTCCAGGCCAGCTCTCTGCTGTGGCCCGGGAGTGCAGTGGAGGATGACCCAAGTGCTTGGGCCCTGCACCCCATGGGAGACCAGGAGAAGCACCTGGCTCCTGCCTTCGGATCAGTGCATGTGCCGGCCACAGCAGCCATTGGGGGGTGAACCAACGCAAAAAGGAAGACCTTCATTTCTGTTTCTCTCTCTCACTGTCCACTCTGCCTGTCAAAAAAAAAAAAAATCAAGCTGTGATTTGCTTTTTCAAAACCTGGTTCTAAGGGAGTATTTCTTAATCTATAGGTATTAAAAAACCATTTTGGTCACCTTTATTTCTAAGTTTATTGGAGTATGAAGGAAACTTGAAAACCCCTATTTTATACTGCAAAATGCAATTTGGGTTTTGTGATTTTTTACACAATAATTTCTACGTCAAACATATTCATGTAATATCTAGCTAGTCCTTTGTATCCACAGGTTCCACAACCAAGGATCTAGCCAATAGCAGATCAGAAACATCTGAGAAGGGGTCAGTGTTGTGACCCAGCAGGGAAAGCCCCTGCCTGAGATGCCAACATCCCACATGGGCGCTGGTTCACATCCCAGCTGTCCCTCTTCCAATCCAGCTCCCTGCTAAGGGCCTAGGAGAAGCAGCGGAGGATGGCCCACGTTTCAGCCCCTGCCACCCACGTGGGAGACCTGGAAGAAGCTCCTTGCTCCTGGCTTTGGTCTGGCCCAGTCCTGGGCATTGTGACCACTTGGGGAGTGAACCAGCGGAAGAAAGATCTCTTTCTCTCTGTAACTCTTTCAACATTAATAAATAAATCTTTAAAAATGTCTTTGGAAAACAAACTTCAGAAAGTTTCAAAAAGCAGAACTTGAGTGTGCTGCCCCCAGAGCACTCTGCTGAACCCACAAGAATGAAGTGTGTGCAGATTAACAGAGCGATCCTGTGTCAGTGTGCAAAGAAAAGTCCACACCGTCACTGAAGGGTACAGCCGGGTCGGGCTTCAGATGGCTGTGCCTGCCTGAATACCTACGCACGCCTCCTCCTCACTATTCCCTAGAGACAGCCTACCACCCATCTACGCAACATTGCCACCGTGTTAGGTAACTTAGGATTCCAAGAAGAGGGGAGAACGTGCAGAGCCCACATGAAATAGGAGAGTACAGGAAAACAACTCAGATAAGTTTATTTCAGTGCAGAAAGTGTTTAAGCTTATTCATGTTTTCATGAACTTTTGAAAGTGCCTTCATGCTATACGACTTTTTAAAGAAGATTTAGTTATTTATGTCAAAGTCAGAGTCACACAGAGAGAGAGGGAGAGACGGAGAGGGAGACAGATCTTCCATCTGCTGGTTCAGTTCCTGGGTGGCCCTACAGCCAAGGCTGAGCCAGGTCTAAGTAGGAGCTTCCGCATGTCCCACCTGGGCCATCCTCCAGGATTAGAAGTGGAGCAGCCGGGGCCGGCGCTGTGGCATAGTGGCTCAAGCTACCGCCTGCAGTGCCATTGTCCTATTCAAGTCCTGGCTGCTCCATTTCCAGTCCAGCTCTCTGCTATGACCTGGGAAAGCAGTAGAAGATGGCCCAGGTTCTTGGGCCCCTGCACCTGCATGGGAGACCTGGAAGAAGCTCCTGGCTCCTGGCTTCAGGTTGACTCAGCTTCAGCCATGTGGCCAGTTGGGGAGTGAACCAGCGGATGGAGGACCTCTCTCTCTCTCTCTCTCTCTCTCTCTCTCTCTCTCTCTTTCTGCCTCTCCTTTTTCTGTGTAACTCTTTCAAAGTAAATAAATAAATCTTTAAAAAAAAAAAAAAAAAAAAAAGAAGAAGAAGAAGAATTAGAAGTGGAACAGCCAAGACTTGAACCCATGCCCATATGGGATGCCAGCACTGCAGGCAGTGAATTAACCCACTACGCCACGAAGCTGGTTTATAAAGGGACTCCAGCACCCAGATTTTAGGTCTCCAGGAGGGCCTGCCAACGAATTAGATCCCAACCGCCGACTGCATGCGGCTACCAGTGATGAAGTATTGTTCTAGTGGTTTCTTTTTGAATCCTCAAACTCAGTCTCAGCCACTTAATTTACATACGCTTGGCATGTTGCCTCTGTTTAACTTTTTATTTTTGGTAGAACTTTTTTTTTTTTAATTAAAACACCTTCCTGCCAAGAGAAATCAACATTTTTGTTTAGGTACTGAATCGATTGTACTTCAACACAGTTAAATCCTAAATAATCACCCAGGAATTCACATATGTAGTCAGGACTCACTACAGACGCCTCACACAGTCAGCCTAGCCAGAAACACACACACACGCACACACACACACACATTCAGTTTTACCAGCTTCATGCTGTCAGTGACTTGTTTTCAACACTTACTGAAGAGATCCTTGGTGACAAGCCACCTCTGAAACCTGAAACCTCGAGCCGTCATTTTTAGCCCAGTTGCTTTCATACCCACGCCTACAACCATGGTTCCTCGTGGTCTCAGTGAACTGTACCGCATTCGGTGCAAACCAGCGAGTGTACCTAGCACTGGCGCTCGTGGTATCTTAGGCAAAGGCTATGTTGGTCTCATTGGGAAATTAGCGCTTTTCACGATTTTACGGCCTCTCCAAAAGCCAGCACGTGGAGACCCCCTGCTCATTCTTGAGCCGAGTGGGAACTCCTAGGATGGAGGAGCCAATTTCCAGCCGTCAGCAACCGTGCCGCAGGCTTTCGGCACGGCCAGGAGCAACAGAGCCTCTGGCTTCGGCTTCAAAGAGACAGCCCCACGAGGGTCACTCCCCGGCACAGAATTCCACGGGGGTAACCCCGATCCGATGTTACCTGGGGCTGTCCTCTCCTCTAGGGAATGTACCTCTGTCCTCCAGTTTCTCTGCCCAGCTCTCCGCGATCAGCTGTCTGGGACTGCAGCTTCGAGCACACGGTCAGCCACAACCAGAATTCATAATGTAGAGAAAAAGATCAGGCAGACAAGTGAGCCGGGCCGTGATCAAAGAACAGGGACACAGCTCGCCTCACTCAAAGTCTTCTCGCCAACTAAATGTAGGGGATGAGACTACGGCGGGGCCCCGCGTCCCACTGCCACCCAGACGGCCCCTTCATCAGGGAGCAGTCCCAGGGCGTCCCGCTCTGTACCTCTGCCTCTCGGTTAAGTTAAATCAAATCAAAACAAGAGTGAGCCGCTCACACCCATCCAAACAGAAGTCTCAGAACTCTGCGATCTCGTTACTAAGTCCTCAAGCAAGACAGAAACCTTTGTGTTTCCTTTTTATTTTAAACTAATTTTTTTTACTAACCATACCATTTAGTTTCGCAAAAAGAGCATACATTCCAAACAGACAGACCCGACATAAAACAAACACAGACACACACCTATAATCGCTTTCAACTGTGGTCCACAAACATTTCACATAATGCTTCCTGAAATGACTACTACTTCTAGATCCCTGTCTTGCATTTTACAACATCTTCACCTAGGACAGGAAGTGCTGTAGGAATCCTGACGGGGAAGCCATGGGCACGCCGCACTGAGACACGGTTTCCCAGCCTAAGTGCTATGGACCGCAGCACTCTCCCGTGGTTCCCAGCGAGCCCGGCAGGGTGAGCATCCCACTCCTGCCCCGCTGGCCACCACCGCACGCCAGCCGGTTCTCTCTCGGGTCAGGCAGAGGGCTCTCGGCAAGGAGGCGTGCCGCTGTGCATCGCTCTTGCAGGGAAGTGTCACGGGGCCACGTCTGATTCGCTACGTGGAATTGCTGCATTAAAATCTGCACCTGGTAGGCTTTGCCCTTCTTCACATGAACTCCCAGACACCAGTCACAGGACACTGCGTGTTTTCCACACACTGCTTTTATCCCCTTCTTTCCGCGAGGTGCACCCTTAGAACAGGTGTTGAGGAAGAATAAGGGGAAGGAACGAACTCGGGCTGACGCCGCCCAAACTAGTCAGCCGGCCGCTTTCTCTTCCGTGTGAGTCACCTGGTGCCGCAGCAGCTTGGAGCTGTTGATGAACGCCCTCCCGCACCGACCGCAGGTGAACGGCTTCTCGCCGGTGTGCGTCCTCTGGTGCACGATGAGTCGGGCGCTCAGGCTGAACGTCTTCCCGCACTGGCCGCACGCGTAGGGCTTCTCGCCGGTGTGCGTCCTCTGATGCTGGGTGAGGCAGGAACTCTGCCTGAAGGCCTTGCCGCACTGGCTGCACGCGTAGGGCTTCTCCCCCGTGTGCGTCCTCTGATGGACCACGAGCACGTAGCTCTGGCTGAAGGCCTTGCCGCACTGGCCGCAGGCGTAGGGCTTCTCGCCGGTGTGCGTCCTCTGGTGCATGACGAGGTGGGAGCTGCGGTTGAAGGACTTGCCGCACTGGCCGCACGCGTAGGGCTTCTCCCCGGTGTGCGTGCGCTGGTGCGCCACGAGCTGGGAGCTCCAGCTGAAGGACTTGCCGCACTCGTTGCACTCAAAGGGCCTCTCCCCCGTGTGCGTCCTCTGGTGCGCCACGAGCTTGTAGCTCTGGCTGAAGGCCTTGCCGCACTGGCCGCACGCGTAGGGCCGCTCGCCGGTGTGCACTCTCTGATGCGCGATCAGCTTGTAGCTCTGGATGAAGGACTTCCCGCACTGGGCGCACTCGTAGGGCTTCTCGCCCGTGTGCGTCCTCTGGTGCGCCGTGAGCTTGTAGCTCTGCCGGAAGGCCTTGCCGCACTGGCCGCACGCGTAGGGCCGCTCCCCGCTGTGCGTCCTCTGGTGCACGACCAGCACGTAGCTCTGGCTGAAGGCCTTGCCGCACTGGGGACAGCGGTAGGGCTTCTCGCCGGTGTGAGTCCTCTGATGGGACACGAGGTGGGAGCTGCGGCTGAAGGCCTTGCCGCACTGGCCGCACGCGTAGGGCTTCTCCCCGGTGTGCGTGCGCTGGTGCGCCACCAGGTGGGAGCTCCAACTGAAGGCCTTGCCGCACTGCCCACACTCAAAAGGCTTCTCGTCCGAATGACTCCTCCCGTGCTGAGCAGGAGGGGAGCTCGGGGAGACCTGAGCACACGCACGCCGACTCCCCTCCCCAGGGACTCCCTGTTGTTCCTTGCGGGGCGGGCTGCGGTTCAAAACTTGCCCACATTCCTGGAAACCCAAGGTTTCCCCTCCTGCGCAGATGTTCTCCTGCCTGTGCAGGGGCACAGCGTGGCTAAGAGACTGAAAGCTGTCTCTAAGCCCACGGGCTTTATCTTTTGTGGGCGTTCTTGTAAACTGAATGACGTGAACGCCCTCGGCGTGTCTGCCCCACTCACTCTGCTCACACAGGGTCTCGCTGTCATTGCTCTCCTGGTAACCGTCTGCAACAGAAGCAGGATGCACGTCTGTGTCACACGACCCGTGTTTACAGAAATGGTTCCCTGCAGGCAGCCCTGGGAGCAGCAGCAGACGGGACTCCAGCCCGCTCTCGCCGACTTCGGCCTGCTCGCAGACTCCTGCGTGGGTAACAGCTTTCCTCTGGGTGAGCGCCACTTCCTGCAAAAGTCGATCCTGCTTTTCCCGGCGCTTCTGCAGCGGGGCCGTGCCATCACGGGCCTCTGCACACACAGACACCCAGGGATCCTCCCTCGTCAGCCTCCCTGTCTTCACTTCACCGGGCGGCTCTTCGTCAGATGTGCTCTGCTTTGACATGGAGTCTTCTGCCAAGTGCAGCTGCCAAATCTGGAAAAAAGCAAACGAAGGCGTCCTAGTCAATGAAAGCAATAGAGGGGCCGGCGCTGTGGCGCGGTGGGCTAAGCCTCTGCCTGTGGTGCCGGCATCCCATGTGGGCGCCAGTTCAAGACCCGGCTGTCCCACTTCCAATCCAGCTCTCTGCTATGGCCTGGGAAAGTAGTAGAAGATGGCCCAGGTCCTTGGGCCCCTGCACCTGCGTGGGAGGCCTGGAGGAAGCTCCTGGCTTCTGGCTTCAGATTGATGCAGCTCTATCCATTGTGTTAACTCTGGGGGTGAACCAGTGGATGGAAGACCTCTCTCTCTCTCTCTCTCTCTCTCTCTCTCTCTCTGATTCTGCCTCTCTGTAATTCTGCCTTTCAAATAAATAAGTTTTTTTTTTTAAAAAGCAATAGAATTGGCACAGTGGGATAAAACTCAAATTATGCAAAATGTCTGTTGGCTCGTTTTCACCAATGGGCGTTACAGTCTGTGTGAGAAACCAAAAGTACGGGATGAAGCCGCAGGTGCAGAACTACGACAGCTCAACAGCGCAGCAGGCATTAACAGGGAGCTATTTCAACCTTAGCTTGGGTGAGGAGTGAGACTCTGAGTGCCAGGCACCTGCACATTCCACAAGCGATCACCTATGCAGAGCCTACAGACCTTCAACCCAGTTCTGCAACCCTCTGTACAGAAACACAAGGGCCTTCCCACCCTCTTCAGCACTGGACCTGTGTTCCTTCAAAGAGACCAGCGGCTACATTTCTAGGAGTTCCCGGATGAATGAAACTCGCTGGCAGTCTGTATCAGGAAGACGTGAGCACGCACGTTAGTGAACAGAGGAAAGGGGCACTTGTATCCCAATCACCCGGGTACTTACAGGCTAAAACAGCCCCATGGACTCCTGTGATTCCAACTCGGGACGGTGGAGGTTTGCTCAGAGGCAGAAGCCTGAATGGCCACTAAGTCAGACCACACAGAGCACACCTGGAAAGTGGTAATGTACACAGCCCAGCAGGAGACGGGGGATGGTGAGACAGGACTTCTATGGAGATCTTTCCAAAAAACCTATACTAGAAATGACCCCTCCATGTCTGGTCATCAGCAGGCCATGTTCATTGGGGAGTTTTAAAAATACTTATCTGTTTGCTGGCACCGCGGCTCACTAGGCTAATCCTCCGCCTTGCGGCGCCAGCACGCCGGGTTCTAGCCCCGGTCGGGGTGCCGGATTCTGTCCCGGTTGCCCCTCTTCCAGGCCAGCTCTCTGCTGTGGCCCGGGAGTGCAGTGGAGGATGGCCCAAGTGCTTGGGCCCTGCACCCCATGGGAGACCAGGATAAGCACCTGGCTCCTGCCATCGGATCAGCACGGTGCGCCAGCCGCAGCAGCCATTGGAGGGTAAACCAATGGCAAAGGAAGATCTTTCTCTCTGTCTCACTCTCTGTCAACTCTGCCTGTTAAAAAAATTTTTTTTTATCTGTTTCTTTGAAAGGGACAGACAGGGAGAGGGGAGGAACAGGGGAGGGAGAGAGAGAGGTACCTTCCATTTGCTGGGTCACTACCCAAAAGCCAGCACCAGCCCAAGCTGGGGCAGGCCAAGGCCAGGAGCCAGGAACTCCGCCTGAGTCTCCCACGCAGGTGACAGGAACCCAAGCACTTGGCCACATTCTCCGGGGCCTTCCAGGTGCATCAGCAGGAAGCTGGGTCAGCAGTGGAGATGCCAGGACTTGAACTGAACTCCAATATGGAAGGCAGGCACCCTAGGCAGCGGCTTAACCCACTGCGCCGCACTGCCTGCCACAGGAAATTCTTTATATGCTTTTCCCCTAGCTCAAAACAGAGGAATGTGGGGGCTGGCGCTGTGGCACAGTGAGCGGGTAAAGCCACCACCACAGTGCCGGCATCCCATAGAAGCTACAGTTCAAGTCCTGGCTGCTCCACTTCCCATCCAGCTCTCTGCTGTGGCCTGGGAAAGCAGTAGAAGATGGCCCAGGTCCTTGGGCCCCTGCACCCGCGTGGGAGACCTGGATGCCCCCTCTTGCGCTCGCACATGCTCTCTCTCTCTCGCTCTCTCTCGCTCTCTCTCTCTGCATTACTCTGTGAAAGTAAGGAAGGAAGGCAGAAAAAAAAAGAAAAACTTTGAACACTGGAAAAATAAAGAGAGGAATGTGTCTGGTTTGAAAAGCTGACGGGGAGAGATGCAGACTTTGAGTATTCAGGCTGAGATACAAGAAAATCCCTGCCGAATGTGGTCCAGCCTTTGGCCTTTAGGAACCATGAAGACTGAGCAAGCTCAAGCCCAAGAAACCAAACTGGTTTTGTCCTACGCTTAAGCTAATCTTCACCAGGGACTAACACGCACAAGCACAGCTCTGTGTGCCCCGAGCCCTGCTGGCTGCTGGCGCCCCGGTGGGTAACGAACGAGACTGCAAAGCCGCTTCAGGAGACAGACCTGCGATGTCACCCAAAGACTCCGGGTCTCCGCGGTCCTCCAGGACCGGGCCTCTGCCCGGGGTCCTCTGAGCACAATTCCGAGTGTCCCGGGGCTCCTCGGTGAAGTCCACAGTCACGACTCGGACGCTCAGTCCTCCCTAGAACACAACGCGCAGTCCTGCTCACATGACCACCGTTTCCCCGCAGCGTCACGGAGGAGGAGACACATGGCAGATGTCGCGGCAGCCAGCCCGAGACGGCCAGCACCCGGACACCTCCGGCCAAGGCGCACGGCGCCTCCCAGGCGAGCCCCTCGGGTTCTGGATGCTAGCGCTCTCTGTCCGACCCCAAGGGCAGTTCCAGGTAAGGCCTGACCTCAGCTTTCTGTCCACCTTCAAGGAAAAGCTTATCCCGATGACCATGGAATTCCCATGTAGGAATCCCCTTCTAACTCCCCAGAGAGTAACAGAACAAGGACAGGCAAGCGTGGACGCTGGCTTTCCTGGAAGTCCTCCGGCGTGTGGACGCTGGCTTTCCTGAGCTCCCCCCGCCCGCATTCTTCCTCCCTCTGTCGCAGACTGCCCGCTCCTCACACTTCTGCCCACCCCTCAGGATGGTGCCCTCAGGCCGCCTTTCCTAAGGACGAAGGCCCACAGCGTCCCCGCCCTTCACTAGACAGGTCCCGCTCAGCCCTGGGTCAGCCTCTCCTCAAGCCCACGGAGGCAGGGACTGCCACGCTGCCCCGTGCCAGGGATCTCGGCATAAGCAATGAGCCTCATGCTCGCCAACTCACTTCCCGGAGCTTTGTCCTACCCACCTCCTTGTGGTGGTGAGAAGGCCATGCCAAGATGGCCGCTGGCAACAGAAACTGCCTGGCAACAGGCTGTGATTGGATGGTTTTGGAAACCACATGACAAAGGAGCCTGGCTGACAACAGGCTGTGATTGGATGGTTTTGGAAACTGCCTGGCAACAGGCTGTGATTGGTTAGGGCATAGACCGCCCCTTGACCAGATTGGCTGCTTTGGCTATATAAGCTGCTGTACCAACTGAAATAGACGAGTCTGTGGGCTGCTTGTCTCAGGCCTGCTTTCATCTGACTCCCGGGGTCTGTGTGGTGACTCTGCGCCTCTCGCCCCACCACGCTCTTCCTCTCAGAATGAATCCACAGCAACACCTCCTGAATCCACCAGCCCCACCCACAGGGGACCTAACGACTGGGATGCATCCTCTAATATGAGAACCTGCCGGCCTCTCCTTGCGTTGTCTACGGCAGGGATGGGGAACATCCCACCCACGGGCCATATACATGACCCGCCCTGCCAAGGCAACTGTGGGCGGGACTCGAAATGGAACAAATCTGCAGCAGACTAATTTCTAAGCTGACAACTCTGCAAGGCCCACAAATGACGTTATAAATACCCACACGGCCCTGGGCAGAAGAAAAGGTTCCCCAGCTCTGGTTACAGCAACTGCTCGTATAGGGCTCTGATGAGACGAAGGAACTGACTCAAAGGAAGTACTTAGGAGCGAGCAGTGTGCTAGCGCGTCCTACGGGTTGTTGATCGTTTAATTCGCAACGGCTCCCGTTAGCAGCACGGCTTTTTGTACGAAGGACGCGAAGGGAGAGAAACTGCAGACGTGCGCCTGGGCTGGTAGCCGGGGCACACCCCCAAGTGTGCATGGCATCAGGGCTGGTGTCCCGAGTGACCTGTTCCCAGGACCGCCCGACCCTCAGCTCTCAGAGCTGCTCCTCAGCAGCCCCCGAGGACACCCCGGCCCTGGAAGCCCCACATTCCACACGACAGGGGCCATTCTGGCCTCTCTGACCACATCACACTGCCCCACTCTACTTCACTCTCGCTCGTCCGCGACCGGCTGCCGCGATGTCTCCCAGCCACTCCGTATTCTTTTCCTTTCTACTCAGAGCCCTCCTGTCGTTTCCATCTAACTCATTCACTCGAGTAGTTACTCACCCGAAAAATTCTGTCAAATATTCCCCTGACTGATGGAGCAGCCGCCGCACCTGCCTGGCGCGTTACGAACACAAACTGCTCTGACTGTGAACCTGCCACCTACAGAGAGCAGTTAGAGAACGTCATGGGGGAAAGCACCCTGTGCCACAGTGACTTCCTTGTAAAGCAGCGGTCACGCTGAACGAGCCTCTCACGCTAACCAGCACCTGTATCACACCTGCTCCTGGGCAGCCGGCTTCCCTGCGGCCCCCCGCTAGCCCTGCTGCCAGCTGAGGAAACGACCGGTACTGTGTGGAGTGAAAGAACTGTCTAGCGAGGCTGGTCCCGCCTACATGCCAAAATCACAGAATTATAACCAAATAAAATGGCACCATTAATCAGCATCTGTATGAAATGTCAAATGACCCTTGTCCAAGACTGCAAGTGTTTCAGATGTTTTTCAGAGTTTGGAATATCCGCATATACACAATGACCCAAGTCTACACTCAAAACTCACTTATGTCTCATATCTATCTTTAACACATAACCTGAAGCCAATTTTATCCAATATTTTCAGTGACGTACATTTTGATTGCAATCTATCACATGAAGTCAAATGTAGAATTATCCACTTCTGATATATCAGCTCCTAAAAACTTTTAGATTTTTGTAATATTTCAGGTTTTTGCACTTTCAGATTAGAGATGATCAACCAGCATTAAGACTTCTAAATCCGTAAGAAAAAAAGTAGCCTCAGTAGAAAAACAAACAAAAGAAAATGAACGTGCAACTCAACCAAAAAGAAAACAGTGAATACACAAGGAGACGGGACCTCTTATAGTCATTGATATAGTCATTTATCTATTACGGTAACTATCTGTGTGTTAGAGACCACAAATTCACACTGATACCTCCAATCACAATCAACACACACTTTATGCTACACCTCCTGCTTCATACATCTTTCTTTCGCTGGCTCCCATTATCCTCTCTACTTTAAAAAAAAAAAAAAGATTTATTTATTTATTTATTTGAAATGCAGAGTAACACAGAGGCAGAGAGAGACAGAAAGAGGCAGAGAGAGAGGTCTTCCACCCATTGTTCCACTCCCCAAATGGCTGCAAGGGCCAGAGCTGAGCTGATCCGAAGCCAGGAGCCAGGAGCTTCTTCCAGGTCTCCCACGTGGGTGCAGGGGCCCAAGGACTTGGGCCATTTTCTACTGCTTTCCCAGGCCACAGCAGAGAGCTGGACTGGAAGTGAAGCAGCCGGGACTCGAACCGACCCCCATTTGGGATGCCGGCACTGCAGTGAGCGATCAGGATGCAGGAGGCTGCAGCTGCCACACAGGAGGCATGTCCTGATGTGCGCTGCCTGTGAAACGTGTGTCATGTGTGCTGCCTGTGAAATGTGTGTGATGTGTGCTGGCTGTGAAACATGTGTCATGTGTGCTGCCTGTGAAACATGTGTGATCCGTGCTGTGAAATGTGTGTGTCATGTGTGCTGCCTGTGAAACATGTGTGATCCGTGCTGTGAAATGTGTGTCATGTGTGCTGCCTGTGAAACATGTGTGATCCGTGCTGTGAAATGTGTGTCATGTGTGCTGCCTGTGAAACGTGTGTGTCATGTGTGCGGCCTGTGAAATGTGTGTGATCCGTGCTGTGAAATCTGTGTGTCATGTGTGCTGCCTGTGAAATGTGTGTGATCCGTGCTGTGAAATGTGTGTGTCATGTGTGCGGCCTCTGAAATGTGTGTGTCATGTGTGCTGCCTGTGAAACGTGTGTGATCCGTGCTGTGAAACGTGTGTGTCATGTGTGCGGCCACGGGCAAAGGGCCAGAGCACGTGTTCCTGTCCTTCCCGTTTGCTTCTGTGGTCCCTGGCAGCTGCCAATCATTGCTGAGCGAGTCCCTCCTCGGGCCACAGGAAGCCTCTGTCGGGGGCCCGCTCCCCACAGAAAACTGAGCGCCAGCCTCCAGTACCTACCCCCGCCTTACTCTCCGGCTCGTCCGAGAAGTATGACAGCGCACACGCTCCTGCACTTCCCAGGGGTGCCGCAGAAATCCCTTTTTCACGGCTGTCACACGACACGGAGGCGGGCTCCTGGGGAAGAAAAGTCCACCTTGCTCGCAGTTTCAGCGGCTGGAGTCCAGGTCGGTCAGCACCACGAGCTCGGCCTCCGGTGCGGGTCAACAGCAGGTGGCACCACGACAGGAGGACGCGAGGTAAGAAACCACTTCTAGGGCCAGCAAGGCAGAGGGGGACGCAGGGGTCAGGCTCACTCCTACAGTAACTCCCCCCTCGGAGGGCACTGCCCCCGACGCCCTAAGGGCCTGTCGCCCAGCCCTGCCTCTTCACGGTCTACCCCTCCCACGGCACCCGGGGACCAAGCCTCCCCCGCATGAAGCCCTGGGGAGCAAACCTCATCCAGCCCACTCATGCGTCCACGCTGCCCCACTGGCCGCTCCGGGGACGTCTCCTGGAGTTCATCCCAGCTTCTCCAGTTTCCCCCCGAGGACGCCAGCTGCCAAGTGCCCACAGAGAGCATTTCCAGACAGTCTCATCTCATACACCCGGGGAAACCTTTTTGCAAAGGGAGTGATACTTGTATTTCACCAGTGTGGAAATCGCTGGTAATAAACTTCAATGAAGTCACTTAGGTCCAGTGGTCACCTGACAAAGCTCCTCCCCCTTCCACTGTCGCCCGGACGGACGCCACGAGGTGTCCCCAGACAGCACACGGCCTCACCTCTTCTTCCCTGGTGACTTCCTAGCTGCTCTTGTTGGACTTTTACTGGACCAGCAAAGTGACTCTTTTCAAACGACTCCCATCTCTACACAGCTCTCTCTTGGGTCTGAATTCTACTGGGGGCCAGCGTTCCCGCGCAGCGGGTTAAGCCACCGCCTGCAACACTGGTATTCCATATGAATGCAGGTTCAAGTCCCAGCTGCTCCACTTCCGATCCAGCTCCGTGCGAATGCCCTGGGAAAGCAGAGGAGGGTGGCCCAAGTGCTTGGCCCACTGCCACCCATGTCAGAGACCTGGATGCAGGTCTGGACTGCTGGCTTCATCCCGCCAGGCTGCTGTAGCATTTGGGGATGGAACCAGCGGATGACAACTCACTCTCTCTGTCTCTACCTCTCTCTATATAACTCTGCCTTTCAAATAAATCTTAAAAAAAAAAAAAAAAAAAAGAATTACTGATCTCTCATCCGTGTGTTGTCCTCAGAACGGAGCAGGACCACAACACCGCTCTGAGTGACAGCACGAGAGCTAAGCACAGAGTACGGGACACGGATGGCGCGAAACCTTGCCCCCGCTCTCTGAGCCCTGGGACCTTGTTTAATGACCCTTTTGTTCAGCAGTCAGCTCTCTACGTCATCAACAAGTACTTTTTTTTTTTGCACCCTTTACAGAACAGGAACAGGAATTAGATGCTGCCTTCCACAGTCAGAAGAGCTCTGTGTGACATGCGTGCGACCACTTGGGACCCGGAGCACAGAGCAGAGACGAGCGGAGCCATCGCCGGCTGAGCCGGCCTCCCATCAGACCTGATTCCAACAGGGCTGTCCGCTCTTGGCTCACTCACCAATCAACGTGACTGAACACGCCTTTCCCTACCGGAGGCATTCTCGGGGCGACGGAGCCACGTCCCCAAACACACCTCAGAGCCGCCACGGGCCCTGCTTCCTGCGGCTCTGTGCACGGCGCGCCCGCGGGAAGCCCTCTCTCTCTGGGAGGTTCAGAAGCACAGGCCTCACACAGCATCACCCGTGGAGGCGTGAGGCAGAGCCCGAGGGCCAGGAGAGCCACCGGCCTAGGGACGGCCCTGAACTTCTGAATCACCGGTTCAACAGGGCAAGAAACCAAAGCCGTCCCCAAGTGCAGGCGGGCAACGCGCAGGCCAGGTCCGGCCGCCTCCTGGCAGGAGTTTCGGCCTCAGGCCCGGAGGCAGGGCTCAGAGTCGGCTCAAGACCTTCCCTGCCCAGCTGCTCCCAAGTGTCTGAGCCACGGGCCCCTCCCAGGCGACACTGACCCGGCTTCTTCCTAGACAGGCCCACCGCACCCCTGGTCTCCATTCAAAGCCGAGACTTGGCTCCCTTGATTTCTCTGTCTGCCAGAGCTCCTATACCCACAGGCCCAAATCAAGTCCCTACGCATCTTCTGAAAATAATTAAAATTAAGCCAGTCTCCAAGATGGCCCCCAGTGAGCACTGCCTGCCAGCATTCGTACCCCGTGCGATCTCTGCCCACACGGTACCAGCGTGGGTCTGCGTGACCACAAGCACACAGATACAAATACAATAAACCGAGGAAGCCTGCAGAAGCTGTCGTCATCACTGAGCGTCGGCGTGAGCAGTGGTGCTGGGACGTCACCACTCCCGGCCGTCACAGCAGACACACACGGGCACACACCTCACCTACTTCTACATCCACAGACAGTGAACACCACGAGCCCACATCAACACCGCCAACTCCCTGTGCTGCCGGCCTGCACCCGAGTGCTCTCCCGATCCCCACCCGCAGCCCAGCCCTGCTCTGACCCGAGACACCTGGTGTTACGGTTGGGGCGTCGTGGGCGCTCCCCGGCCACGGTTCCTGTGCTGGGTCCCGGGTCCCCAGGGCAGTGGTGTTAGGAGAGGATGTGGAGCCTTAAAGAGGTCCTGGGAGGTCCCAAGGCCACCTTCTTCCTGGACCCTGGGGAGCTTTCTCAAGAGAATTTTTACAAAGCCTGAGCCTGGCCTCACCCAATCTCTGGCTTCTGGCATCTAGACGTGACCCCTCCTCCCACACGCGCCCCGGCCACTGCGACCCACCACGAGGTGACCCGGTCCAGGAGGCCCCCGCCTGAGCCTGCGCCATGCTGTTAGCCTCAGAAACCGTGAGCTAACTAGACCTACCTTTCTTTCTTTTTTTTTTTTTTTTTTTTTTTTGACAGGCAGAGTGGACAGTGAGAGACAGAGAGAAAGGTCTTCCTTTGCCGTTGGTTCAGCACCACGCTGATCCGATGGCAGGAGCCAGGTACTTATCCTGGTCTCCCATAGGGTGCAGGGCCCAAGCACTTGGGCCATCCTCCACTGCACTCCCTGGCCACAGCAGAGAGCTGGCCTGGAAGAGGGGCAACCAGGACAGAATCCGGCGCCCCGACCGGGACTAGAACCCGGTGTGCCGGCGCCGCTAGGTGGAGGATTAGCCTAGTGAGCCGCGGTGCCGGTAGACCTCCTTTCTTTGGAAGCTGGGCCGCCTCAGATATTTCATTATGGCAACGAAGGACTGGCCGCTCCGGCCGGCTCCGTGACTCCCTTTCCTACCGGCTGGCCCCACCAGCCCTCCTGTACACAGCTGACCCAGCGCCGCGGCCACGCCCGCTCCCTCCCAGACGCTCCTCCCGGCCCAGGTGGGCGCTGCCACCCTGCGCGAAGCCTCCCCTGCCCAGGGGCCCTCCTCGCCTGGCCCAGGCTGACTCCTGGACGGCCCACGTGAGGCCTGCCCGCCGCGTGGGCGCCCTCAGGGCCGCGGCTCACTGCTCTGGCTCGGACAGCCCACGCTCACTGCACTCGGGCTCAGGCTGCCCACACTGGGGCACCCCCTGCACGGCCACGCCCTCTCCCCCACCGGACGCTGCCCTGGGCTCCGGCTCCGGACGCCCCCCGCAGCCCACCTCAGGCAACCGCCTCATGGAGCCCCTCTCCTCGGCCCTGACACGTTCTAACACTGTCCAGGCTGTCCGCTTGCACGAGTGACGTCTCCACTCCACCTGGGCTCTGCCACTCATGGCCGCCGGCCACGCTGTGCAGACACCAACTCCCCTACCCGGGGCCCTCCTTACCCTGGCCAGCCCGCGACCCCACCGCAGGCAGCCCCACCTGCTGGCTTCAGGACTGAACTGGCCAGGAAGGGGACACGAAAGCTCTCATTCCACATTTTTTTTTCCTGACTAAATGCTTTCAAAGAACACTTGCTGCAGCAAAATGCTTTAGATTGTTGGGTTT